GCCAGTGGCATGTTAAGTGTTGATGCCATTTGTTACATTGCGACACCTCTAGTCACTTTACACTCGTCACAATCAATCAAGCCTCCGCACGTCACATACCCCCTCCCCTCTTCCACCGACTACTGCTCTCTCCCTCTTCGAAGGATTTGAAAATCACTAACTGGCGATATTTTGTTGTTGCTGTAACTGACATTGACATCCCTGTCCATCTGGACTAAAATAGGGAGCAGGAATTGTAAAAGGTAGTGAATAGGGCTAGTGTAATATTTACCACATCATCCTTCAAGTACCAGTACAACTACTAAAATAATGTCACTGCTATCTGTGTTACCATCGGGGTAGACAGAGAGTCGTGAGCCAGAAGATTTGGTTCCGCATGGCTAGTGCTGTCGCCACAGACTGGTCAGGTTAGGATGTATAATTTCACTTGCCGACAGAAGAACGCCATAACCTTACCGGCGGTCTTCACATGAGAGCACTATGGTGTAACAGCCCAACCACAACTATTACTGCTGCTGCTACTTTAAGTGGGTAAAGCAGTTACTGTGACTCAAAGCTCTCTCAGTTAATAGTTTGCCCCCCCCCCCCCCTTTCCCCCCAAATTCACCGACAACTCTTTCCCTCGTTGAAGGAGAAAAAAAAAACACTTGAAAAGCAAACGAACACAGGAAAAAAAACACCATAATTAGGAAATGAACGCCATTGTAAACAGCACAGCTTAAAATTCCAACACAGATGAAATAACTAAATCTAAATGAAAATAAATGAAAATCTATAAAATTTCAGCGTAACCATGCAATCGGAAAGTTTAACAACGCAATCATAAGTATGCGAAAGGGTCAAATTTAATTATCAAATGGTTTAACAATTTACTTGTTTTTATTAAGGCAACATGGCTAGTGCTGTCACCACGACAGAGCAGATACGGATATTATTTTAGTCCGGGGGTAAAAAAAATTTTAACGGCTGCGGATTCGAACCCAGGTCTTCCGCACATGAACCCAGTGTTCTAACCATTCGACCAAGCAGCCACTTAATCGGAACAACGAAAAGAGAACTCAACTATTAGACATGTGTGTCCTTACTACTGTGTCGCGATTAAAACACAATTCAAAACCGCAGGCAATTGTTTTCTCGTAGACAGATACTCCAGATATATTAATGAAATAGAAATCGCACGTGTCTAACACGGTTAATGAAGTTAATGTTGCAGTCACTGTCTGCGCCGACGTCGAGATAGTCTTTGATTGCCCCATCCCCCCCCCCCCCCCCACCGAAGGTTGTTTGAAAAAAAAACAGAAAATAGAAATCGTGTTTAATATGGTTATTGTAGCAAATATAGAGATAGTCTTGTTTGCTGTACCACGACCTACTCTATGTATTAGTATTAGAGAAGGCGTTGGCTGCACGTAACTCGCCGGCGAATGGTAAATACGGCGCATGCGCAATTACTAACGTGGCTATAATTAGAAATCACTAAAGTTATAAATATTAGTTGCGTATATTTTGGCATAAATTGTGGTCACCTATCTCTAACAGTGACAGGTTGAATTTCAAACCACGATGGTTCAAAATCCGGTATCAAAACAAACATATCCTGAAAATTTCAGCTAAATCGGTTCAGTAGTTTCCGAGTCTATAGGGACCAAACAAACACACAAACATTGATTTTTATATATATAGATAAACATGCTTGAAACAAAGACATGGTGCTTTCTTTGGATATATCTAAACACTCCCCAGCCACACAAACAGTACCAAAGATGATAAATAGATCTTCCGCAAACTGGCTAATGTGATGAATGTGATATTGCGGTTTCTCACGGATATGTTAAAGATGGTAAAACTGATATTTCAATTTCTAGAGTTAATATGGTTGACACTCAAATAATACTTGTGCTCCTCTACTCTTCTAGACTGCCTTTGTTTGTTATCAGAATCTACAAGTCTTGTTTTCTTCAAGCTGAAAATTTCTGCTTGCCATCACAAAGTTTATTAACGTCCATTTACATTAACTATGTTACTGGTAACTTACTATGATGGCCACACTTAAAAATCATTACTTTGCTGTGCTATACATACTTCATGTAAGAAATATAGATTACTGAATATAACAGATGTTTCTGTGGCACATACAATGCTTCGGTTATAGCTACATGACAACAAAACACATGTGTTATTCACTCACCATCAGAGAGAAGTGGCCATGTCCTTTGGGGATGAAAACCGGTCCTGCAATAACTTCGTTACTGGCAAGATCCACAAGTTTTCCTGAAATAATAACAAAAGTGCTGAAATATTAACCCTTTGGAGACGACGCAGCCGAAATATCACCCAGACACAAAGTAGCCAAAATGATGATTGGGCTGATCGGTCGGCCCTATATAATATAAGCCTTGAGATTGGCTGGCATGTTTTTGTACTTTTGTGCACATGTGCACTGACAGCTTTTGAGAAAGTTTGATGTGTTCTGTAATTTTACATCAACATTTTTTCTGGGGTTACCTGTGCCCAACAGTGGTGAAAAGGACTGTTACGTCATAGCAACTGAAACATAGCTGGAGAAAGGACAATGAGTAGAACAATGTGTCAAAAGTGTCTGAAAGACCTCTAAGGGTCTTGCTTCCCAAAGCACAAGTGCTAGGACTTATTCAAGCTTCATCTATCAAAAAATGCACCCAAAATATTTAGGTTAGTCATGTTTGTTCCCAAGTTTTAAAAAAAAATGCTTGCATAAATTATGCAAATAAGAATAATTAATTTAAACAAATGTTGAGATTTCAGTTTGATTCATAAATATTTTGTTAGCTCATTCAATTTCCTAAACAAATGTATATAGTTTTGTATGTTAATTGAACGCTTAATTAAACATTTACAGTAACTGCTTGAGCAGAAACAGTCAAAACTAGCAGCTAATACACATAGCAGCTGAGCACATGTACCCTGCATCAGCTGCTGTCTGAGCGAGGTCTCCTGCCTCTTGAGCGCCTGCGTGTTCAGTCCGGAAGCCAAAATCAGATCTTTACGGAGTGCGCTGGCCTTTTTATTCACAGTGGCCAGACTTCTTCGCATTTGTAAATCAGACTAAATCAAGGTATTCGTCGTACAAACTAAAATTAAGTTAAATTTGTCTTAGCCCGCTTACAGTTTGTTCAACAACTCATAAACACACATGCAAATCATTTTCTCAAAAACTGCCTGTTAGAACACAATGATTTTTTTGCATGCAGCCTTAGAATATCCATGATGTTAGAGAAATATTTCTTCACTTAAGAAGAATATCATATGTAGTTTTTGTTTTTCTTCTTCATGATATATATTTTTATCATGAAACTGTCTAGGAAGGTTTACTTTCATTAGTTTCAGGAAGTAATGCACACTATGACTGGTTTAACAGGGGGTCAAAGAAACCCTATGTAATTTCATGATTTGCTTGTGCAAAGTCATACTCTTAGTGACCTGACGTCAAAATAGGACGCCTGTCAAGGTTGTTTAGTCAAAGGCACATCCACAAGTAAGTGTTGAGTTATTGTGTCATATAGCTTGCTTATAAAAGCTGATATAGACATCAGTTTCAAAATGAATTCGAGATGCAAATTTATAACCATGCAGAAGGTGACCATTTTTCTGCACTTCCTCAGGGAATCTAAGATAGGTCATTTATATTGTGATATTTATGACCTAGAGAAATAAACAATACTGGTGCTTGGTCTAGATAGAGCATTATTTAACTGCTGGATTAGAAAGGACACAGAGTACAGTCATGTCAAGCAAGGAAGCAAAAGGAAAGTTGATGACTTTGATGCACATCAACTTTTTACTCTCCGAAAAGTGAAATTAACATTGAAATCACAATACAGTAGTGACATTCAAAAAGTAGCCTGTGGAAAATTGTCAGAGGTTCATTTTCAAGAAAACTATGGGTAGATGGAATAATATTTTTGAAAAGCCACATTTGATTTCTAAGCAAAGCAAATACCTGAGGCAGATCCCTCAGCGACAGATGCAAGGCTATGATACTGTTTTTTGGAAGAATTCTGGGTTAATGCTCACCATACCTGTGCTAAAGAATGGCAATCAGTAAACGGTGAACAGAAAAGAAACATTCCAAGCAGCAAAGGCCAGTGAATTATACTCAGTTATACAAGAAGCAGGGTGTTGAATGATACATGACAAGGTAGATGTGGTCAAGGCCCTTTGAGAACAAGTAATGAAGTCAGAAGAGAAAATAGATTATTATGACCTGGAGAGAATGATACACCTGGGTGTGACCACAGGACCGGCACACTACACTCAGAGGAATGGCAAGATGGACATATAATCAGACTGCATCCGATACAATTAGTATTGGAACTCTGCGCTGGCTGCTCAAGATAGGGATGGAGCATATATAGGAATGCCATGAGTGCTGTAATCTCTTTCTTGAATCAGCTCAACTCAACTCAGTTGAACATAAATGACAACAAATAAATTAATTTCACCTACCAATGTATTATGAAGACACCTCTTAAAAAAAACTGAACTGAAAATTCTGGATTTTACTGTAAAATCTAAAAGTTTACTCCACTTATTTACAATGGTTCAAAAAGATCAAAGGAATTGGCTGGTTTTCAGCATCATGAGCATCTATGGACTAAAGAATACCACTAATTTTGGGTCATTGATATTCTAAGACTTCATGCAAAAAATCGTTGCAATCTAACAGGCAGTTTTCTAGAAAATGGCTTGCAAGCGTGTTTATGAATTGTTGAACAAACTATAGGTGTTGCTGTAAATGCTTTCATCCTAGTTGTTACTGTAAATGTTTCTATCTTAGAACACAACACTTAAAAAACATCTTATTCATTTAAATTTTAGTTTTTGGCTTGTCTTCTGGCATGTTCGCATAATTTCATGTCATGTTGCACATATAACAGGGAGTAGACATATACAACAGAACCAGACACACTTAATGCCAACCAGCAAACACAGATCAGACACTGTGTGAGAAAAAAAGTTACCATAAATGAGCACAATGTCAGAATTCTGAATATAAGCAGCAAAAGCTTGAGGGTCAGCTTTTCCATCGACTACAACTCCATCAACAAGCTTGGCTAAGATCTCACTCTGGCTCAGGCACTAATGAAACAAGGAGACAAAATCATATTTCTATGAAAAAAGCAGCAGCACCCTGTCTTCATTTTATGTATGATTACTCTAACCTCTGTGCTATACTGATTAGTGAGGACTACCATCACTGCATACTGGTCAGAGCCATAGGTGCCCCGATCTCCTCCTCAACAGCTCCACAAAGAGCACACCCATTCTGTGTTGATTAATCAAATGTCTTGTGTCTTTGTGGAAATGTTAATGTTTGACTGCTCCAGGTTGCACCCCTAAATCCACCAACCTGAGTTATGTTTGTTGTCGTGATCTTTGATATGTGTATCTCAAATGCATTAATTATATCACTCTTGTCCAGTACGTCATTTTTAAACCCTCACAGTGGTGCCACCTGTTACTGAAACTGGTTGGAAATGCTATACAGTGCATAAGGGTGTTTGAAGAATCCTGCAAAATTTACAAACTGTAAACCAATACAATTTTTACACTGATTTTAAAAAATAGGAGGCATTATTTTTAAACCAACCCTTGTACTATGTACCCCCTTAAGTTCAAAGACTATCCTGTATTCAGTACTACTGCCTGTTATGTTATTTATGGGCCTAGGCAATAATAATTTATGAGGACTGAATGCAGGATGGCATTTGGGGGACAAGTGCACTCAGACTGTCCCTATATAGATTGTCTATTTCCAGTTCCAGACAGATGTCCGATTGTTGAGCCCAGTCTTGAAGAGTCTACATCTTGTGGCTGGTCCAAAAACCTAACCAACAGCTGAAGTTGGAAGCACCACCAAGATCAGATTAGTTCTCATGAATACACTTAGACTGAAACTATGTCTACCATAGTCCTCGGATTATAAATATCCATCTGACTTTTTTTTTTTTTTTAAATCAAAACTATTATCCCTTTCTGGGTGGACCAGATTATGAGGCACATTTCAAATGCCTGGGTGGAGCACGTAAGAAGCAACATTTATTACCAAATATATGGAAAACACTGCCAATTTAATGAGGTATGTGACAAGGATGTGTAATTGCTATACAACCTATCTCCTAGTAGTGAAAATGTGAAAACTGTTTAATTAGAGGAACTGACAATGTCTACAATATCAGCCTATAATGACCAGCCAGGAGGCAAGTATGCTAGCCAATAGTCTATCACATCTGCCTATGGTCAACTGCAGTGAGACAATGAGTGTCTTAGCACCGTACACAGCCTACCTCATAACTATGATCAGATAAGCCCATAATCATTTATTTAATAGTGGTGGAAATATGGTTTCCAAAGAAAGTGCCAAGAAAGACAGAAAAAACAATGAAATAGTCTGTCATAAAATAAATGTAAATCATAAAATTATTGGAAAAATTAAATATATTTCAGCTTAGAGCCTTTTGAGCAAAATATATGGAGAAACAATTGTGAAAACATATGACAAACTGGCAAAACTGACAGGCAAAGAGGTTTGGATGGTGACAGTTGACTTGATCTGAGACTATGGTAACAACATAAGATGGCATGCCATGACTGCCCAAGTTTAATGGCATGGCACACGATGATGAATTTCTGTCTGGCTTCTATGATTCCACTTTTTTCTGCCACCAGTCTACTTTCCCACAACATGCATCAAACACTCACAATAACAAGTCTTGAACACTTACTAGCCAGTCTGGCTCTGCTATGAGTACTCTGTATGCCAGTTTTATAGCAATCACCTTCCACATCCGTTCCTCCAAGTTAGACAGTTTCGGCCTGTAAACACCTGGTCTTCCTCCTATATACTGCCACAAATATCTAGATCTGATATACATGACCTGTGGAATACAATTTTTTTTAGTGCTGAGATAATTTGTAACTGTTAACTTGGTCATCTACTCTGTAAATATCCTATCTATATTATTATTAATAAGATTTATTGTAGCATATTTATAACAATTAACATACATCACTCAGAAAATGTATCTGCATGCAATTATAGGACACCCCTGTAAAGGATCATTGAGTGAGATAACTGAAGCATTAAACACCAAACTGTGCAGGATATTCAGATGTTTATGGTAATGAGCAGGCTGCTAGATTTGCTGCTGCCTCCCCTTCAAGCAATCAGCTACTTTATGATAAAGCAGAGACAGTGAGGGTTCTCTGGGATCAAGTCAACAGTGCAACAGCACAGACACAGCATCAATATCTGGAGAGAATGCTTCAGCTAGGAGTCTGGACGATTTTCTAACCCTAGTGTGTGTGTGGGGGGGGGGGTGGAGAGGGGGGGGGAAGAAGTAATATTCTAAGGTGTGTGTGTGTGTGTAGTAGTAGTAACATTCTAAGTTGTAAGCATAGTAGTAACACTCTAAGGTGTATGTGCATTAGTAACATTCTACTGTGTATGTGCAGCAGTAACATTCTATTGTGTATGTGCAGTAGTAACATTCTACTGTGTATGTGCAGTAGTAGCATTCTACTGTGTATGTGCAGTAGTAACATTCTATTGTATATGTGCAGCAGTAACATTCTATTGTGTGTGTGTGTGTGCAGTAGTAACATTCTATTGTGTATGTGCAGTAGTAACATTCTAAGGTGTATGTGCAGTAGTAACATTCTAAGGTGTATGTACAGTAGTAACATTCTAAGTTGTAAGCATAGTAGTAACACTCTAAGGTGTATGTGCAGTAGTAACATTCTACTGTGTATGTGCAGTAGTAACATTCTATTGTTTATGTGCAGTAGTAACATTTTACTGTGTATGTGCAGTAGTAACGTTTTAAGGTGTATGTGCAGCAGTAACATTCTATTGTGTATGTGCAGCAGTAACATTCTAAGGTGTATGTGCAGTAGTAACATTCTAAGGTGTATGTACAGTAGTAACATTCTAAGGTGTATGTACAGTAGCAACATTCTAAGATGTATGTACAGTGGTAACATTCTAAGGTGTATGTACAGTAGTTACCTTCTAAGGTGTATTTACAGTAGTAAAATTTTAGGTGAATATACAGAAGTTATATTCCAAGGTGTATTTACAGTAGTAACATTCTAAGGTGTATTTATAGTAGTAACATTCTAAGGTGTGTTTACAGTATCAACATTCTAAGGTTTGTGTACTGTAGCAACATAGCATATTCTAATGTGTATGTTCAGTAGTAACATTTTAAGATGTATTTACAACTAACATTCTAAAGTGTATTTACAGTAGTAATATTATAAGGCGAACATACAGCAGTAACATTCCAAGGTGTATTTAAGTAGTAATAATCTGAGGCGTATTTATAGTAGTAACATCCTAAGGTGTATTCACAGTAGTAATATTCTAAGGTATATTGATAGTAATAACATTCTGAGGTGTATTTAGAGTAGTGAGTAACATTCTAAGATTAAAAAGCTTCAACAACTGAATACTGTTAACAGACCACCAGAGTGCACAGGATTCAGAACTTACCAAAATATCTGTCTCACAAATGACTGCCTTGTGTCGTGGCTTTCCAGTCAAGAATGAAAACTCTCCAATGACACTGCCTGAGGTCAGGTAGTCCATTACCTGCTCTGTGTAATAATCTGTTCTTTCTATGACTTTTCTGCGCAGCTACACAAGGCATGGTTGAAAATAAGGTCTTGGCATTTTGTTAGATGCAATGAAACTACAAATGAACATGCAATTAAGCAACAAGACAAGATCAAAGACACTGAAACAATGGACAGAGCAGGTATTACAATAGTTTTAACTCAATGCTCAGTCTCTGAAGGCTCAGGTGGCTTGGTCACACCTGCAGAATGGAGGATGGTAGAGTCTCTAATAACATCCTTCTATGGTGAATTACAGATGAGTACAAGCTGTCGAGGTCGGCCTCTACTACAATATAAAGATATATGTAATTAGTGCATGAATGATATAGGCGTTGAGGTGGATTCACAACAACAAAATGGACCGTGTTGTGTGAAGGGGCAATTCATAAATGGAAACAGAATGAAGGAAAAAAATGATTGTAGAAAGAATGTGAGCTAAGCATCTGATACAAATTATACTATTTACATGAGATGGCAACAAACAATGTTCCTAAAATTCAATGGAGTGAGTATGTTCTGCTTGATAGTTCTGGTACTGGTTGCAACTGCACAGCATTTAGATATGGTGGGTGTGATTATATTTATCAAACAATGTTTTAGATCTGAGGCACACAAAAAACTATTCTGAAATGGCCAAAAGGAAAAAATCAGTCAATTCTTAGCTACATTTGTATTTAGTGATTACTTCCCTTGATGAGAAGACAGACCTTTTCACAATTTAGACATTTAGTAACTGGAAATTGTATTATTAATTTTTTTTAACGATGTGACGTCATTAAAGAAGCAGAGGGCTTGACGTCTTCCTGTTTTCTTGGTGGTCTAGGGCAGGTAAATCAATTCAGTTTACTCAGGAAAATGTTGGAAAATAGAGATCTTTACCAGCCAGTGGCCCCAGTCCCAACATATTTGGCCAACAGGCCATCAGATGAATAGCCTCGGTCTAGTGGTTCGACCTCCTATTTGTTTATACAAACTTACCATGACTCCAAATATCTTCTGCTACTGTTTCTTTCTTTTTTTTTTCTAATTTCTTAGGGTAGATATTTAGAAAACAATAATGATGCTTTCTCTTTTTTTTTTTTAAGGATATTACGTAATGAAGGGTAAAACAAAAATGTTGGTAAACAAAAACTTATTAAAACTAAATGAAATCTCAGCTGAAAAACATGATCGCCAAACCACACTCTTTATATTAATCCATCAGCTATATTTCATCTTCATTTTATCTTACCTCCATGTGAAAGGAACTAAATGACTTTTTTTATTGGTCATTTAAACTGTGTGTGTGATAACTGAACCAGCATTTGTCTTGTCTCCTTTGCCGATGTGAAAAGTTAAATGCATAGATTTTTTCCCCACTTTTTGTTGTTGTTGTTCAAGGTAAAGCAGTTAGACCACCAACTAATGGCCAACTAAACTAATTAAGTGAGCTGTTCTTTGCCTCCAATCAATGCATGTCCTACAGTACAACAAAACAACTACAGAACAAATTATTGCACTCTACAATAGTTGTCTCATGAATAACATGAAGATCAACATAAAAAAAACATAAATAGGGAACATCAAAATACAGACATAAAAATTAACAAACATTCAATAAAACAGGTGGGCAGATTGAAATATCTTGGATGCATCGTCAAATCAGACAGCAGACTGGACAGAAAGATCCAGTCCCGAATCCAATAAGCCAACATTGTTACCTATCAACTTTACCCAATACTGAAACACCCAGCAATACCAATAGAAATTAAAAGAGGAATCATAAATGCAATCTTTTTTTCTAACATTGCTACCAATGCCAAACCTGCACACTAACAAAAGAACAAGAGCTGAAACTAACAATGTATTAAATTCATAAAAAAAAAAGAGATCATGAAAGAAACGAAGATATAAAATTGTAGAAACAACACCTGTAATTAGATTAACTGAAAAACAAAAACTAAAATAGTCTGGCCACCTGGTCAGAATGAAACATCAAGAAGCAGAGAAAGGCCAAGAAAAATATGGACAGAGGAGTTAACTCAACAATATCACCATGCAGCAAGCTAATGAGCACACACTATCCTGGAAATGATTATTAGCTTCACAGCAATGAGCAGTGAAAGACAATAGATAGAAAGTCAGACAGACAGATATGCAATCAGTGATCGGCAAAATTTTCTTGGTGTCTTTAAAAGTGCTTTAGTGCCACAGAAATCAATAACGAAGCATGTTTTTACAGTCAGGATTGTGTGTTTTCAATTAAATCAGTATGGTTTGTGATTAGTATGGCTTGTGATTAGTATGGTCTGCCTCTGTTTGCGATGAGAAATTTTACAACTTAAGTGGTTTTATCATAAATGGTTACATTCCTAGTGTGCGTTCCAGGGCCACATGTGAGGGTGGGGGGACGGACCAACTGCCCCCCTTACAAGTATGTTGTAAATGTTACTAATTATGAGTTTTATAAGTTTTCCTCTAAGTCACACTGCATCTGCCTGAGAGGCCAGGTGCCAATAGTATGGATCTAAATAATTAGATCTGTTAAACAAACAAAATAACCTACATGCATGCAAAAATTCAAGTTCTGGAATAAGACCAAAATCCAGAAGTGTAGACAAACAACCAAAGCTTTCAGCCTCAGTTTAAAGCTAGAGTCGGAACTTTCCGCCCGAGTTTACAGCCAAAACCTGAACTTTCAGCCACAGTTTAAAGTTAAGAGTTAGAACTTTTTACTTGAGTTGACAACCAAAGCCAGAACTTTCAGCCACATTTAAAGTTAGAATTAGAAGTTTTCACCTGAGTTGACAGCCAAAGCCAGAACTTTCAGCCAGTTTACAGTTAGAAATTTCACTTTGAGTTTACAGCCAAAGCAAGCAGAACTTTCAGCAACTGTTTAAAGCTAAGATTTGAAAGTTTTCACCTGAGTTTACAGCCAAAGCCAGAACTTTCAGCCACAGTTTACAACTGGCGAATGCTAAGAAAAAGAAAAGGTTATATTATTCTTACCACTGCAATACCATGTAGGATTATGTATATACCACCTGGAAGGCAGGACTGTATCACCAAATACTCTGAACTGCTGTACTTGACAATTTCTCCCTTTTGCTAACAAACAGAGAGAGAAAGCAACTGACTGTTAGAACAGAGTGTTATGTGAATTATTCAACATATTTCATATACGCAGCAAATGTATATTACACATAGTCTGAACCAGAAAAAAAAAATTCCTAATAACAAGACCTACAAAATAAAGTTAAACAGATTTTTTAAATGATATATCATTATCATTATCAAGTCACTTGCCAACAGGCATAAGCAATCATGATTTTTCATCTGCTGCAATATCCAAAAGAACCCATCAAATTATGTCAAAATTTCCTATGTCATAATAAAATGCCACCAAAGATTATTTCCTTACCATCTTTCTTGAAACTTTGTTCATGAACCTTTACATTTTCTCATTCCATAATCTGGCCAGGGGCCATAACTACTGACTGCTCCTTTCTATTTGCAGCAAGTTGTCTGTGGCTTAAACTATGATAGGACTAACTGCAGGTATGAAGCACCACACAAAACTACTACTCCGGCTGTTTTGTAGACGCTAGTTAGACGAAGGCTAGGTTAAAACCTAATACACACTATTATTACACTGGTCAAAGAAAACTACTGATGTATCTATCCCTTGAAAGTAGTTAAAGGAAAGGTCCCTTTACAGTCCCTGCATCAGCCATTTGAGGCTAGGCTCAGATTTTTATAGACCAATCGGCCCTCAATCGGTGGTCAACATTAAGCTGGCTGCCTTTACTTCCCATGACTTTACCCAGAACCCACTTAAGGCTGGGTCAACCTGGGAGCCAAGGTCATGCTTAAAAAAAATCAAGCACCATGCGAATTTGAATCCACGACCATCAGATCCAAAGGCGAGAATCAAGCTGCTAGTTGTGTATTAAACTCACTTTGCTGTTCAGTTGTGCCAGGCATAGGAGGTTTGATTGCCTACACAGGTCATGGAGGCACTGGATGATGATGATGATGTCAGCAGCGAGTGCAAAAGGTCAGCAAGGGTAAAGTGAGAGACAAGTGTTTCTTGAGTTTAGGGAGAGACAGCGGATTCACGAATTTTGCAAGACCCATGCGTGACTGGTCGCTGAGCTGAAAGTTAGCCCAGGTCTAATCAGTGCCCCTCAGTCTATGAGAGAGTTAGGACCTGTGTGGTTTTTAGTAGCACTTGTGTGTATTATTTTATTCTGGTGAAAACTTAGATTGTTCATTAGAATTTGGAGTATAATTTGGAATGCTCCAATTGAGTATTTAATGGAGAGGGCCCAACATCTCTTTATGATCCAACTGCAAGGATGTGTAGGCAATGGAGTCTGATTGCCACTGTGTGTCGGGAGACTTGGTGTGCCGGGGGGCAAAGTCTCTAGTAAGTTATTATGTATAGGTTCTTAGTGACCCAAAGTGTGTGCACATAACCGAGGCACTTATTGAAGGCTACTGGTGACCCCAGGAGGGGGCCTGTAGGCCGAAGGTGTTGATATTGTGTAATGTCAAGTCGAGGCTAGGTGTTTCTCTTTAAGAAGACACCGCCTTGGAGGCAGATTAATGAGTATCTGGGGGTATTTGACAGACAATAGTTTGGTAATCACCAATTCACCTTCATCGTCACACTGTGTTTCGTCCAAATAATTAGACTGATGCACCATTATCTAGATGACTCTTGCCGTATTGTTGATGTGGTTGGCTGTTGATTGTTATCGGTGTAAGTTGTACAGTGTGACTATGTGAACTGTGTTAGTTAAGAACTCTCCGGTAGAGAACCCAATTAGTCATCTGTCAGTCGACTTTGGAACTTTTGCATACATGGGTGAAGCGTTAATCATTCACTTCTAGACACTTAGCTAGGTATGCTTCCCTACCCCCAGATGACATACAACACTGCTACACCATGGCGGCTCCCTCTGTCCCTTGCAGGTCGTGCTTTTTCTCAGATCATAGCAAACATTAATGTGAGGTCTGACAGATCATCAGCTAACAGTGACACATCCAATCATCATTATGAAAACTTGTGCCCAACAAATGTTAAATACAGCTTAGATGTTGGAGCCTTGAATATCAGACACCTATTCAATAAGAAAAGTTGGAAAGTATCAAGAGTGCAAAGGTGCAATGTATAGAAAGAATGACAGTCTACTGGGCATTGGTGAAAAGTATAGGCAGACATTAAAATCTATCACAATGAAGAAACTGAACAGATGAAATAACCAACTTCCCGATGTTTGAGTTTGGATCTAAGTGTGGCTCCAACAAGAGGATGAATCCAAAGTGTTTACAGACAGCACATTACTGGAATAGTAAGCCACAGTGGTGAAGCAGCTAGACACTGACCTGAAAGTCTTGGTTTCAAAAAGTAATCTCTTCTGTTAACAATACTGGAACATTTCTATTTTCCAGTATTAACTGAGGGAGACAGATCATCTCAGCTTGCTCAAAGTGTGATAATTTCGATTCTGCATTATTCATTAACCATGGGTTTTATTAATATACTAATGGTAATTTAACTCTTCACAAATAACATGGTTTAGGAGGATGAGAGGAAGAATTTTCAATTTCTGATAACGAGAAAACTATGTACATAAGTAACTCATTATAAATAAAAAGGTTGCAAGTTGATATTGTTGACCTAAAGTTTCAGGTCCATCCAGCCTCAAATGGGTACCAACAAATGCCCTGGCAAGTAAATGTGGCTGGTATGATGTTGAGTACATCACCCATCGAGTGCCAATTAATGACTAAAATAAAGAGGTCTACTACCATATGCCCAATGCAATAATAGTCTGAAAAGGTTGTTTACTTCTGTCTACTTTTAAACAACATGATTAAAAAATGAAAAAGTGGGGAGAGAATAATAAATGAGATCTTGCAGATGAAAAACAAAATTATGAGCATGGTAATCTCCAGGTACTTGGACAATGAGACACATTCAACAAAGAATTCAACTGAAATACTTGTGGCCTTTTTCTCATCTCATTTTTGCCTTTCATTGTCAGAGCTTGAAAAGGCATCAGGTGTGAGCATTGGTATTTGCCACAAAGATGCTGGTATTCAAAGCCTCATGTGAGCATTGGTATTTGCCACGAAGATGCTGGTATTCAAAGCCTTATGTGAGCATTGGTATTTGCCACGAAGATGCTGGTATTCAATGCCTCATGTGAGCATTGGTATTTGCCACGAAGATGCTGGTATTCAAAGCCTTATGTGAGCATTGGTATTTGCCACGAAGATGCTGGTATTCAATGCCTCGTGTGAGCATTGGTATTTGCCACGAGGGTGCTGGTATTCAAAGCTTCATGTGAGCATTGGTATTTGCCAGGAAGATGCTGGTATTCAAAGCCTCATGTGAGCATTGGTATTTGCCACGAAGATGCTGGTATTCAAAGCCTCAGGTGAGCATTGGTATTTGCCACGAAGATGCTGGTATTCAAAGCCTCATGTGAGCATTGGTATTTGCCACGAAGATGCTGGTATTCAAAGCCTTATGTGAGCATTGGTATTTGGCACAAAGATGCTGGTATTCAAAGCCTCATGTGAGCATTGGTATTTGCCACGAAGATGCTGGTATTCAAAGCCTTATGTGAGCATTGGTATTTGGCACAAAGATGCTGGTATTCAAAGCCTCATGTGAGCATTGGTATTTGCCACGAAGATGCTGGTATTCAAAGCCTTATGTGAGCATTGGTATTTGCCACGAAGATGCTGGTATTCAAAGCCTCATGTGAGCATTGGTATTTGCCACGAAGATGCTGGTATTCAAAGCCTTATGTGAGCATTGGTATTTGCCACGAAGATGCTGGTATTCAATGCCTCATGTGAGCATTCGTATTTGGCACAAAGATGCTGGTATTCAAAGCCTCATGTGAGCATTGGTATTTGCCACGAAGATGCTGGTATTCAAAGCCTCGTGAGCATTGGTATTTGCCACGAAGATGCTGGTATTCAAAGCCTCATGTGAGCATTGGTATTTGCCACGAAGATGCTGGTATTCAAAGCCTCATGTGAGCATTGGTTTTTGCCACGAAGATGCTGGTATTCAATGCCTCATGTGAGCATTGGTATTTGCCACGAGGGTGCTGGTATTCAAAGCCTCATGTGAGCATTGGTATTTGCCACGAAGATGCTGATATTCAAAGCCTCATGTGAGCATTGATATTTGCCAAGAAGATGCTGGCATTCAAAGCCTCATGTGAGCATTGGTATTTGCCACAAAGATGCTGGTATTCAAAGCCTCATGTGAGCATTGATATTTGCCACGAAGATGCTGGTATTCAAAGCCTTATGTGAGCATTGGTATTTGCCATGAAGATGCTGGTATTCAATGCCTCATGTGAGCATTCGTATTTGGCACAAAGATGCTGGTATTCAAAGCCTTATGTGAGCATTGGTATTTGCTACAAAGATGCTGGTATTCAAAGCCTCATGTGAGCATTGGTATTTGCCACAAAGATGCTGGTATTCAAAGCCTCATGTGAGCATTGGTATTTGCCACAAAGATTTGGATATTCAAAGCCTCATGTGAGCATTGGTATTTACCACAAAGATTCTGGTATTCATAGCCTAATGTGAGCATTAGTATTTGCTACAAAGATGCTGGTATTCAAAACCCCAGATAATTATATCAATGCATTACTTGCTTGGTCAACCTTCAGCACTGCTTCCATTGTGCCTATGTGACAGAACTCTCTATGGTGCACTATCTAGTTGTAGTCTTGACACATGCCCGAACCATTTGACCTGTTATCTCTTGATGTATTTTAGTACTGGCTCTGTCCCAGCCTCTTTCCTGATATTTTTTATTCTTATCCGGTATTTTCTAGTTATATTTAGGATTTGCTGTAGACTTTTCCCTTCCGCTGTTTCAATTTAGGTTTTCCATTTGTTGTTAATGCCCACACGTGGTATTGATAACACAATGTAGCAAAATCAGCCTACAAACATGAAATCAAAGCTGCTAATAATGAATAGCTTACCATAATAAAGTTCAGAAGCTTCAGATCATTTCTGATCCAAGGAACACTGGCAATGATTCTGTCATAACTAGGGGGCATCACAGTGATCCACTTGTTGAGGTATTTAGTCAACCTTGTTAATATCACCTGTGCACAGTTTTAAACATTCATTACTTTTGTTGTATAAATATCAAAGTCCTATTTCAATACCAGCCAGTAAATACTTCCATTAATTTAATCTCAAGTTAGTGTTTCTTTAAAGTAATTAATAATTTCTATGAACTGAAATGGTCTCCTAGGAAAAGAAGCTTGGAGAGACTACTAGGAAATGCCGTATGGAAAAATAATGACTTGGCATAATATCACATTAGACCACACCATTAGTCGGATGCCAACTGTGAATGGCATAATATGACCACACCACTAGTTAGATGCCAACTGTGAATGGCATAATATGATCACACCACTAGTTTGATGCCAACTGTGAATGGCATAATATGATCACACCACTAGTTTGATGCCAACTGTGAATGGCATAATATGATCACACCACTAGTTAGATGCCAACTGTGAATGGCATAATATGATCACACCACTAGTTCGATGCCAAATGTGAATGGCATAATATGACCACACCACTAGTTTGATGCCAAATGTGAATGGCATAATATGATCACACCACTAGTTTGATGCCAACTGTGAATGGCATAATATGATCACACCACTAGTTAGATGCCAACTGTGAATGGCATAATATGATCACACCACTAGTTCGATGCCAAATGTGAATGGCATAATATGACCACACCACTAGTTTGATGCCAAATGTGAATGGCATAATATGATCACACCACTAGTTTGATGCCAAATGTGAATGGCATAATATGATCACACCACTAGTTTGATGCCAACTGTGAATGGCATAATATGATCACACCACTAGTTAGATGCCAACTGTGAATGGCATAATATGATCACACCACTAGTTTGATGCCAACTGTGAATAGCATAATATGACCACACCACTAGTTTGATGCCAAATGTGAATGGCATAATATGATCACACCACTAGTTCGATGCCAACTGTGAATGGCATAATATGACCACACCACTAGTTCGATGCCAACTGTGAATGGCATAATATGACCACACCACTAGTTCGATGCCAACTGTGAATGGCATAATATGACCACACCACTAGTTGGATGCCAAATGTGAATGGCATAATATGACCACACCACTAGTTCGATGCCAACTGTGAATGGCATAATATGACCACACCACTAGTTCGATGCCAACTGTGAATGGCATAATATGACCACACCACTAGTTGGATGCCAAATGTGAATGGCATAATATGACCACACCACTAGTTCGATGCCAACTGTGAATGGCATAATATGACCACACCACTAGTTCGATGCCAACTGTGAATGGCATAATATGACCACACCACTAGTTCGATGCCAACTGTGAATGGCATAATATGACCACACCACTAGTTCGATGCCAACTGTGAATGGCATAATATGACCACACCACTAGTTCGATGCCAACTGTGAATGGCATAATATGACCACACCACTAGTTTGATGCCAACTGTGAATGGCATAATATGACCACACCACTAGTTCGATGCCAACTGTGAATGGCATAATATGACCACACCACTAGTTCGATGACAACTGTGAATGACATAATATGACCACACCACTAGTTCGATGCCAACTGTGAATGGCATAATATGACCACACCACTAGTTTGATGCCAACTGTGAATGGCATAATATGACCACACCACTAGTTGGATTTACCCACCTAGTGCCGATTGGTCTGTAAAAATATGGGGTGCTCTTCCCATATACCCGATGCGCCTAAAGGCGTGAAAAGAGATCTTTACTTCTCTACTTTACTAGTTAGATGCCAACCGTCAATGGCATAACAGTGACCACACTACTAGTTGGATGCCAATAGTGACTTGCATAATACTGACTACATCACTAGTCGGATGCCAGCTGTGAAGGACATAACATTCACCTCACCACAAGTCGGATGCCAATTAAGACTGGCATAACACTGACTACATCATTAGTAAGATGTCAGTTCTGAATGGCATAACAGTGGCCACACAACTGTGACTGGTATAATACTGACTACACAACTAGTTGGATGCCAACTGTGACTGGTATAATACTGACCACACAACTAGTTAGATGCCAAATGTGACTGGTATAATACTGACCACACAACTAGTTGGATGCCAACTGTGACTGGTATAATACTGACCACACAACTAGTTGGATGTTAGTTGTGACTGGTATAATACTGACCACACCACTAGTTAGACATCAGTTGTGACTGGTATAATACTGACCACACCACTAGTTAGTCATCAGTTGTGACTGGTATAATACTGACCACACCACTAGTTAGTCATCAGTTGTGACTGGTATAATACTGACCACATCGCTAGTTAGACATCAGTTGTGACTGGTATAATACTGACCACACCACTAGTTAGACATCAGTTGTGACTGGTATAATACTGACCACACAACTAGTTGGATGTTAGTTGTGACTGGTATAATACTGACCACACCACTAGTTAGACATCAGTTGTGACTGGTATAATACTGACCACACCACTAGTTGAAAGTCAGTTGTGACTGGTATAACACTGACCACACCACTAGTTGAAAGTCAGTTGTGACTGGTATAACACTGACCACACCACTAGTTGGACGTCAGTTGTAACTGGTATAATACTGACCACACCACTAGTCAGACGTCAGTTGTGACTGGTATAATACTGACCACACCACTAGTTGGATGCCAGTTGCGACTGGTATAATACTGACCACACCACTAGTTGGATGCCTGTTGCGACTGGTATAATACTGACCACACCACTCGTTAGACATCAGTTGTGACTGGTATAATACTGACCACACCACTAGTTGGATGTTAGTTGTGACTGGTATAATACTGACCACACCACTAGTTGGATGCCTGTTGCGACTGGTATAATACTGACCACACCACTCGTTAGACATCAGTTGTGACTGGTATAATACTGACCACACCACTAGTTGGATGTTAGTTGTGACTGGTATAATACTGACCACACAACTAGTTGGATGCCAACTGTGACTGGTATAATACTGACCCCACCACTCGTTAGACATCAGTTGTGACTGGTATAATACTGACCACACCACTAGTTGAAAGTCAGTTGTGACTGGTATAACATTGACCACACCACTAGTTGGACGTCAGTTGTGACTGGTATAATACTGACCACACCACTAGTCGGACGCCAGTTGTGACTGGCATAATACTGACCACACCACTAGTCAGACACCAGTTGTGACTGGTATAATACTGACCACACCACTAGTTGGATGCCAGTTGTGACTGGCATAATACTGACCACACCACTAGTCGGACACCAGTTGTGACTGGTATAATACTGACCACACCACTAGTTGGACGCCAGTTGTGACTGGCATAATACTGACCACGCCACTAGTCGGACACCAGTTGTGACTGGTATAATACTGACTACACCACTAGCTGGATGCCAGTTGTGACTTGGCAGAAACAGCAGTGGCTATTGTGAACCTTTACCTCTGCCCACCAGAACCCCAAAACCTGACCTGTATAAGATTTTAACAGAAGTAATAATTTTTCGGCATAAATATCCAGTTTAACCTTTACAGTTGTAAGTGAGATATAAAGTTTTAGCTGTTCTGATCTGTCAAGATGGTCGCTATCATTTATCTACCATTATAGAATTTATCCAAAATTAATAATTCACATAAAAAATCAATTTCTATAACTGCACTGAACAGAAGACAAGCAGAATACACCATAATGATCATTACTGTCAAGTTGGTGAACAGTTTCTTCTCAAATTTTGTATTTCACTTTAACTTGACTTTTGCATGCACATTCGTTTTACATCATCATCACCATGAACATAATCCACATATCGCTAAGAGCCATGAGGAGAAATAACTTGCGATCCAGTGCACGTTAGCCGGCAATGACTGCTGTTATGCTATGAAGGTGTAACGTGTCTCTAATGCTGTTGATTAATACTTTTTGTGACCATCCTCTTGCTCTTGTAGCTCACATTCTGAGACGCAGTGCCAGTGATGATTGTTAATGTTGCTGCTCTCTAGCAAGATGGCCAAACAACTTGATCCGTTGTTTCTTGAATCTAATTCAAAGTGTTTTTCCAACAATCTGTCTGATAGTATCATCATTCATTCAATCCCAGATGGTTAGGCTGGTGGGTGTTTTTTTCAGGCATCTTATCTCACATCCATTTTACAGATCTGGCTTATTAATATGCAGACTCCCCCCGTGTGGGTTCCGGGGCCCTACTATGCCAAAAACAAGAATAGACCCACTGCCTACCCAAAAGAATGTCATAAGAGTCGACTAATTGGGAGCTTCCTTCGAAGTCGGAGTGCATCTGCCTGAGAGGCAAGGAACCAATTGACTGCATACAGATCTGTCAAACAGATGCACACGCAACACTCAGGTTCTGGAACAGGACTGCAGTCCAGAAGTGGATGAACAATCAGAACCTTCTGCCGGAGATCACAGCCAGTGAACGCGAAGAAGAAGAAGAATATGCAGACTGTTTGTTCCTCACCTCTCAGGCAGATGGAAATACCCCTTATTAGTCCCCTTTCATGGCCTGCCTGTTAGCGGAGCACTGGATTTATTCTTTTTTCCACAAAACTGGGCCCCAAAACCCACACAGAGATGAAAAAGACTTAAAGACTTGACACAGATTTACTAAATTCTCCAAAGAAACTATATAAGAAGTTAGATTCTTATCTATAAGCAAAACTACCTTGTCTAGAACAGCTCCATCTCTATGTCTCATCATCCTCTTCTCCTCCAGCTGCCTCAAGACATCAAGTTCTTTTGTCAGAATAATACGAATGGCCTGACGTGTCTTTGCACTTGCAGAAATTATTGGATGTTTCATTTGTAGATACCCTTAAAAAAAAGATAATGTTGCAATGATAAATTTGTTTTCAAACAGATTTTCTATTGCCTTTGCAGAATTCAGAAAAGTTATACTATTTCAATGACAGAGTAATAATAGAATACAAACTGTGCAACTCTTCCTCACTATAAACAAATTCAATGTGCAAGATGAGTTTTCATTCAATATTTCCTGCCCCCATTGTCCTAGATCCTTCTTGGCTCATATTGTGCTTACAAGTCACCTCTGAACTAGAAGGCAGTCAACAATGGTTTTATGATGGATGAATGAAGGCATGGGCCTCATCACCTGTGATGGATGAACAACAAACAAAAACAAAATGAACAAAATAGAATACAAGCTTTAATGCTCCAACATATTAAAAGAAGAAATACAATCTAGAAGAGAATCTAAAAATAAAATATACTATGCTCTGCATCGGCTAAAATCAAATGCTCTTTCTCAAAACGCCATGGTCACAATATATAAAACGCCGGACATGAATAACGGTGCTCACAAACCAGTATGTTGCACTTCAATTCTCAGGATCACCAAGGTATCCGTGACATGGAGGTGACCGCCATTAAATCTAGTCACTCCAGCGACAGAGTCTGTGAGTCTCTTGAAAACCGCATTATTTTTACCCTTGGTACAAATAAATCTAGGGGACTTGACTGTCAACACAGTTTCACCTAATATCATTGAGTCACCGCCCTTAGCATTCTCAGGCTATATACTGTTGGCGGCTACAAAAATCTTTCATTCTGAAGCCATATAACAACGTGGCTGCTATCAGGAATAGGTCTAAGTAATTTTTATTCTGTACTTGTGTCTGTAAATCTGGTTTTCTTCATTTATGTGATGTGCTGATGAAGGCTCTGTAGCTGCAACATTCACTTTCTGTTTGTGTCATTGTGAAGCTCAGTGGTCTACTTTTGGTTTGGTTTTATATCTTTTTATCATATATGTTTCTGAAACTAGCAGCACAAATAAAAGAGATAAAGCATTATTACAAACTGTCGAAAATAGGGTCTTACAACAAACCGTTGGACACATCAGAGATGGAAACAGCTCGAAATAGAGAGTGAGAAAAAACAATGAACTTCATAATCTGTTTAAATCACGACTGGTTACTGGTATCGTAAGGGCTAATTGACTTAAATGATGGGGTATATAGAAAGAATGGCAGATGATAGAGAGGCACAATTTGTGAACACAGGGGAGCTGAAGGGCCGTAGACGATGAGACAGACCAAGAAGACAGTGGAAAGATAATAATCAGACACACCTACAAACACCTGACGTCACAAACTTGAAAATGAGGGCCAATCAAAAAGACGAATGGAGGCTGATGATATCTGTGGCAATTTTCTTCTTCTTCTTTGCGTTCACCAGCTTAAAACTCCTGCAAAAGTTTTGGTTGTTCGTCCAATTCTAGACTTTAGTCTTGTTCTAGAACTTGAGCTTGGTGTGCACATCTATTTTACAGATCTGACTTGTTTGTATGCAGACTACTGGTTCCTTGCCTCTAAGAAAGATGCACTCTGACACCCCTAATCAGTTGACTTTACATCCTGCTTGTTTTGGTGATAGTGGGTCTATTCTCAACACTTCATATCCACATGAGAAAACTGGTGTCTTGAGTTTGGCTGATCCACAAGAAAATCCTGGATATCCAAGAAAAACAGTTGCACTTGAAACCCACTGGAGAATGAAAGAAGTTTTGGATGTACAGATTAAAAAGTTTCGGACAGACAGGGCAGATGACCCTCCCAACACCCTCCTCCTGGTAAAGAATGATAAAAAGAAGCCTCTAAAAAATGTAATTGTTCTTCCTCGTTCGTTCAAGTGACATAAATGAAAATGTGTTGTGCCTGATTACAGCATAGCTGTGATACCTGAGCTGTTCAGCTGACACATCCAACTTCTTTGAGCATTTCTGATTAGTTTCTAGGATATTTGTAGCCTCATTTGTGGTGTGATACCCTGGTGATGTCCCTAGAGGACCCCATTCAGGGCAGCCCCATGCAGATTCACTGACATTTAAGTAAAAAGCAGAGGCAGGCAGAGCATGGGCATTCCCCGCCATCAAAGTAAGCCTCCATAGATGCACAGCTGACACATGGTGCTCTAGTAATGGGCTCACCAAAAGGAGGCATCACCCTTTAGGGTATTCCCAGAAAGCAGTTTGCAGAACTGACGCTGACTCCTTGCACACACGGGCATCTCACGTCCTCAGCATGTGAAACTTCTCTCTTTGACAATGGCACCTTTAATTTACATGATTCAGGGTATTTTCTGTGGCATTTATAGGAATGCATCAGGAATGGCTTCCTTGTATGGTCACTGCACTCTATTTTTCTAAGTGTGACAGCTAACAAAACATAACTGTAAGACCCACCTAGAATTTTGGTTGTCTCAACCTTATGCTCTGTGCACACATCCTTGAATTTCTTCAGGATGTGGGCAGGGATGTCGTATTCCACATGACTCAGCAATCTCAGAACTTCCAAACGTCCTCTGATGTAACTACGAGCAATATCAAAGCCCTCAGCCAACAAAATACTGATATTTAACTCGCACATTTTCAGGAGAATTTTAAGCATGTACTGAAAAGAAAATACAAAGCTTAGGTCAAATGGATATGTTACAACAACAAAAATTTACAAAACAATAATTTGTGTGATGAAATCAGTTTTTAAATTTACCATGTTTTTTTTAAATTAAATAAAACCTACATATCACTTCTGATTTCTGTACAGTTACTCATCTCCCCTTTCCCACATTTCAGCTTTAAAGTGAGAAGTACTGATTCAGCTTTGACTATTCTCTTCAAAATATCAAAATGTTTTATTTAAAATATAAAATTTGAACAAAGAAGACACAAACAATAGATTGCACAATTTATTGCCTGGCATATTTCGCTGTATCTCGTCAAGCGCATACTACAATAATAATTACATAAATGAAGCAAATAAGTGAATCCTTTATGTTATTAAAAATGAGAATACTGGCCGCAAAGATCATCCCTCTGCAATAGAACACCATCTTCTAAAATCTGGACATGTGGTGACAAAAAACTCATTTCAAATCCTTCATATGTCAATGAATGGCAGAACGCTAAGGTTTCTCGAAGCTTCCGCGATTCGTCACCTGCGCCCGGAACTCTTTATTCAGAAAGAGATGGTTATGTCTTAACGGCTGCCCTGGTAAAAACAGGCATTCATGTTTGATTGTTGTTGAAATTATATTTCAGTTATAAAGGATTCACTTACTTGCTTCATTAATGTAATTGTTACTGTAGTCTGCACCTGATGAGATACAGTGAAATATGCCAGGGAATAAATTGTGCAATCTATTGTTTGTGTCTTCTTTGTTCAAAATATAAAATGTGTTAAACAATAAAAACAATATTTACTTACTGGAAATACCTCTGCCATTCTCAGGATTCGAAATAATCGAGTGGAGATGAAAATCAGTCGCAACAGCATTGTCAATGAGGAGGCTGAAGTCAACAGCTTCATAGCAAATAAATCAGCCATTCCCAGGAAAACAAGCAGCACAATGAGATATTCCCATACAGAAACTTTCTTATAACGTGCGACCTGTGTAGGATTACAGTAGCAGCGGGTACATTTTGTGCATTGTATCAGAAGTAGAATGAAATGTTGGGTATTACATATTAATCCTTTGACCGTGAGAAACCAGTACTGTGAATTTACTGTCCATCAGAAATCCCTGTATGGCAGATTTTGTGGCTTTAAGACTGGCTAATCCCCAGCCTTTTCTAGTTCTTTTTTGAAGAATTGACAGGTTCTATCCATTTTTGTTGCCAAGGACAAAAGGGCAAAGTCTTCTTGATTCTGAGGAATGATTGTGTGTAAACACTTTCAATCCCACTGCAGTTATTTTCTCAGCTCTGTCTATCTAAAGGATTCATTCCCTACAAGAATCACGGTCCAGGTCTAAAATTGTTGAAATAATCACTTTATGGGACAGAAGATTTTGAAGTAACAATTGAGATAGAATGAGCTAATACTGCAGCTGGCAAGGGGCCAGCAAGCTGATACAAATATCTCAGTTAAGAGCCTGTTTAAGCACATGGTGAGTTGCTTGCTAGTGTCATGACTGCCTCTATCAACAATATTTGCAGCGTACACAGGGGAGGGTTGTGTACCTGAGGACTTAAGGCTGCATGGCTAGTGTAGATGCCATGGACAGTAGGTTAGGACTTCAGTTTTGCCCCTGAAAGAACAACATATAACCTTACCGAGGGTTTAAACCTGGATCTTAACCATTAGGCAAGCTACTCTACTGCGTGGTGGTAAGTAAGTTAAAAGTAATTGCTGTTTATCTGTCTTAAGTAAAAAATACTAGTATTTCATAATTTTTTTCCTGTTTTTGTTTTCATTTTTCACTGAAAGACTACATACCATTTATTCATGAACAAATTGACTTCCTTTGAGATGTCATTAAAACCGCATTTCTTTCTGTATATTTACTTGTCTGAAATCAGACTGAAAATAGTGCTGAGATAGATTTTCTTGTTGATTTCATAGAGGTTAATTAATGCTAATAAAGCTATAGGTAAGTGTTAACACAAGTGAGATAAGGTGTGAGGTTTTATTTCAACCAAACTTCTGAAATTCAGAGTGCATAATATCTTTAATTTTCTGCATCTTTTTTTTTCTCCTATCTTGTTATCTGCTATTTGAGGAAACATATTTCTTTTTGGTTGTATCCTGCCAAAACTTTGATAATAAAAGTGGTCTTTTTGTAATGTAAGCTGCAGGTTACAAAATACTGTTGCTGGTGAAATTAATATAATCAATCAGGGTAACCACAAGCATTTTATTTGACACAAAGCCCTCACTTCTTTTACTTGCTCTTATATTCTTTTCACCACACCTATAATGATTACACAGCTAAACAAGTTCTAATGATAAACTAGACCTTTATTTGAAGTTCCTTCCAAGTTCCATATGGGGGTCGCCGTGGCAAAGCGGCTAGATGCTCGCCGCGGATCGGAAGGTTGTGGGTTCACTTCCTGGCGGAGCTGGACTTTTTTCAAAACATAATCGTGGCTCCCAGGTTGACCCAGCCTTGAGTGTGTATGGGGTGCAGTCCTGGGAAGTAAAGGCAGCTGGTGTGATGCTGACCACATCACCCATCTAGTGCCAACTGGTCTAAAAAATATAGGTCTAGCCCTATACGCCTAAAGGCGTAGAAAAGGGCCCTTTACATTTTTTTTTTTTAACTTGGGTCCATATTAGTTAGAGTTTCATCCTCATTCGGTGGACCAGTATCCATTTCTCAGGTCATTGTGCATTGGATAGTTACTTTTACTAAAAGTAAAAACTAGACCAAATTTTCACTAAGGGAGTTATTATTTCAAGTAATTTTTTTTTTTGACACATGCAAAGCTTCACAATCAAAAACTTAAAAATTAAAAAAAAAAAGGCAATTATAAACAACGGATCCCTTCCACAAAAACTTTAAGTTCACAGAACTAGTAAAGGACCATTTTGCATTTCTTCAGGCGAATTGGGCATATAGTGCTAGACCTAAATTTTACAGACCTATCGACATTTGGTGGGTGCTGTGGTCAGCATCACGCTGGCCACCTTTACTTCCCAGGATTGCACCTGGTATCCACTCAAGGCTGGGTTGACCTGGGTGCCTAGGTCATTTTTTGAAGGAAAAAAAAAAAGGCTGGCTCTGTCAGGACTCAAACCTGCAACCTTTTGATCCGTAAGCAAGCGTCTAACTGCTACACCACGGGGACTCCCAAAGTTCACAGAACAGTGAAGACAAATAATTACCCTGACTATGAATAGTATTCCATGAGATCCCACAAAAATCATGTTGTAACAAAAGAAGACAAAGTTTCTGTAAGAGTCTCTTATGAAGATTTCATTGCTCAGCTGCAGCACTGTAAAACTCAAGTCTGTAAGATGAAGACATATAAATGTTCCTGTATACAGAGCCTGCAGTGGGCGTGAATATCGACCCAGTCTTATCCAGTCTTGCAACTTGGTGCACATGTCATCTCTCTGTAAGTGAGAATACATTTAATTTAGGAATCAGTTTACTCTAAATACAGACAGAACATTCAACAAACTAGCATATCACAATGTAGAATGTAGTAATAGATCATTTCAATCTCCAGTGAAAATACAAGCTTGAAAAGCTCCTAAACGTCAAAACTAAATCAAGTCTAACAACTGAAAATATTTAGTATTCTTCAATGGTTACACAAACCTGAAATCTGGAAATATGTAAGATTTAGTAATATCTAGCTCTCAATCTTCAATGCTCGCTTGTTCTTGAAATCAGAAAGTATTAGGTTAGAAAAGCTTTAAAACTGAATGATGAGATAGGAATGGTTATCCCCCCCCCCCCCCCCCCCCCCCCCCCCCCCCCCCCCATCCTCAGTCATTTGTGGACATTGACAAGGTCTTGTCAGAACTGGTAGGGAATCTTATTGGAAATTTACCAGGCACTAAGGAATCCTACAAAAGATCACTAATATGATTTGATTTGATTGAAGAACCGAAATCCCATCAAAGAGTTCCCATACTATTGGTGCCAGTAGCATTCTGATTAAACGTCCATCTTGCCTTTCCTCTGAGCCTCGAGCATCTGCCAGAACCCCTCGTCACTCCCCCCTGCATCAATCTCACCAGACTGTGGTGATCCAACTGCTCCTTCGAACTGTACACGCTCCTACACAATGCACTAACCATGTCTGCCTTATCATGCAGCAGTATTCCATCAAGTAGTACAGAGCCAGCCAATCTGTTCGCTAATCACTAATTAAGGCAAAAGAATGGTTATGGTGGTGGTGATCCGGAGTGGGGTGTATTTAATGGCAACCTAATGATCAGACTTCAAGCACATTGCCATCATGTTCTATGCCACAAAATTAACTGCCAAAAATAAATTAAATATATTTGAAAGGAGATCCCAACAATTTACTAAATGTGAAACTCAAGCACATGGGGGGGGGGGGGGGGGGGGGGGGGTTGAAAGTAATTTCAGATGCTAGTGTTATATTGTGTTACAGAGAGGCATGAGAATCATAGCCAATATAGGCCGGAGATAAAGCTCCTCCTCTGCACAGCACAAAGGCTGGGCAATATTGTTGTGATCATGTGTTGCTCACGCAGAACAATATCTTGTTCTGACTATCTTTACTCTGGAGAAAAGTTAGCACCAGTACAGTTGGAACAAAGCATCTGCAGAAGCTGCTGGATCAGAAGAGCAGTTCTCTTCCTGCCTGTAGGAACTTCCCTCCTATACCAGGTGCCAACCAAGGCTAAGGGCCAAATCAAGCAAACGATAACCCACTTATCTTAGGGAAACCTCAATTCAAGTTGTGAAAAATGCACATACATTGGTAGCAATTTAGACAAAGGTAGGGGAACCGACATCATTACTTAAAAAAAATATTTCAAGAAGACAAGCCTCATAGCATTAGGAAATCTGTGGAAGTTAACATAATTTAAACCCAGAATCACACTTATAATATATAACTCTGTCATACCATTACTACTGATTGACTTGTTATATCATTTCAGTTGCTGCTGTGTGAATCAGAAGCATGGAGAAAGACTACAACATTTTTTTTAACTATAAACATCCGTTAATGGGTGCTTCCATGGAATATAAGGACAAATGTGGTTTGACAAAATCACCAATGTGAAGTTCATGGAAACAACAAAACAAATTTATGTGAATACAAAGGTGAGGAAAGATGCTCATGCCGGATAGCATACAAACTAAGTAAACTTAACAGTATAACTATAAAGTCCTTGCTCTGGAACCCAGAAAGCAGAAGACAAAACAATCCATTTATTTGCTTAATCTTGTTTATTTCAGTTATATACATCTGATGAGACACCGTGAAATATGCCAGACAATCAAGTATGCAGTCGGTTTCTTCTTTTCAATTTTTCCAACAAATTAACAATTAAAAAAAACCTCTGACTTACAAACTGTTGGTAAACTTTGGGTACTGTCAGAGTGGACTGAATCTTTGAAGGAAATATCAACCTGAAAATAATTAAACATTTACATAAGCACATCTCCCTACTCTGTGCTCTTGTTAACAGTATGTCTACATCTCCATGGACACAGATTAAAAAATAAAATTTCAATTTTCTGTAACCTAGTTTTAAATTAATTGTGCTTCGTGCAGTCTACATTTACATTCCAATGGCAACATAGAGGCACACTAATTAGTGACAGAAGAAAGCTGTACCAACTTCCGAGTAGAGGCAACAGCCCTTCTAGTAACCCAACAGCTAATCAGAACTAATAACCAAACAAAAACTGCTATTTTAACTAGAGCTATAACGAATAGGTGATTATCACTATTCGGCCAAATATGAATAACAGGACCAACTATTCAGCAGATACGAATAGTAATAGTGTATAGTGAATAAAATAGATCTAAAAAAAAATATATTGATGTCAAATGTACGCTGAACTTTTACTTCACAAAATGTAGTACAGAATAGTAAATATTTAAAAACATTTGATGTTTTGCATCCTTCAGTCAGCCTGTGGTAACTAATAACTTGGATTGAAAGTATCCTAAGTATTATAACAAGTAACTAAACTTTTAAATTGTCACTGACAGCTTAGTTAATGCATGAAAGCGGCATTAGCTTTCAACAAAACCAATCGTTCCATTTTGTCAGCATTAAGGCAGCTTCTCATCTCACTGAAGGTATTTCCAGTAGTACTAAACAGACGTTTACTTGGTACGCTTGCAGGTGGTACACAAAGATAACACTTGACAGTGTGAACCAAGGTGGGAAATCTTATCAGGTTTATTTTCCACAAATCCAATGGGTCAGTGTCTATGGGATACAACGGCTCTGACAGAAGTTTATTCACTTCTGTTTCAAGGGTAACTTGAATGTCGCTATTCTGTGCCACAACAGGCTGCAACTGATCCTACGAGGTCCAAATGTCATTAGGTTTCATTTTTGGGGGCTGGAAGTTCTTTCTCAGCTGCAGGAAAAACTTCAGAAGTTTGGACTGTAGCTGTATATGTCGATGACTGGCAATTTAATGCAGCAGTCACAATGCCTATCTTGGCTTGTAATTGCTGCACATTTGTCAACAAACGTAGTTTGAACCGTAGATTGTACCATACCACCTGGTCACAGTGTCCCCGGCTGCGGCAGACTCAGAAAACAGCAGCTACTGTGTTAATGACAGAATTATTTCAGTCTACTCGCAATGGCTGCAGCAGCTGTGTATGCAGAAGTGGGCGTAACGTGACCATTATTCGTATTCGGACCAACCGAAAGTATTTGGCCCAATATCAAATAGTTATTAGGTCCACTATTCGGCCCCAAGCCATCTTATGCTCTAAACTGGATAATATCTATGAAATAAGAAAAAAAATTACAATTGTGTGTATAAGAACAGAGCTAATTCTGCAGCTGATGACAGCTCATTTTGGTATTCCTAAATATAAAAACAGTAAAGGCTGGAGGAAACCTTGTGCAGCTTCATCTGTTGTCGAAATTTCTGTTTCATCTTTTGTTGTCTCACAAATACCATGTTGTAGTCCAGTGTCATGGTTTGTTCTCTATTTGTCTTCTTGGGTGGCTTGGGTGATCGATTTGTTCATCTTTTTGAAGGTTTCTACTACACCATTTATCCATCTCTTTTTTTGGTCTTCCTCTCGCCTTTCTCCTAGATGTTCTGTTGTAAAAAGTTTCACATGCAGTTTGGTCTGGCTGCATTCTTACTAGATGGCTGGACCATTTCATTCTTTGTCTGTCAATAAAAACCAGACATGGTCTTATTCTGACTTTCTCTCTAATGCTGGTATTCGTAACCCGGTATGTTTTTGTGGTGCTGGTGACCTTGTGGAGACAGGCCATTTCACATGTACTTATTTTCTGTTCTAGTGCCCTATTCATTGTCCATGTTTGGCATTGATAACATAAAGTAGAGATAAAGATGCTATTGATTATTTGCTGTTTTCCTGGAAGGGAGACATCTGGGTGTCTAAGCAGTGGGGCTAACAGGTAGGTGACAACTTTTGCCTTCTGTACTCTGGCTTCTATCTCTCTATCTAGTCTGCCATATCCATAAATATGCTTCCTAAATATATGAATTCTCATACTTGTTCGATTGTAGTAGCATTAACATGAACATTCATGATATAATGTTTCCTGGCAATCCTCATTACCTCAGTTTTGCTGTGTTTATTCTTAAATCATACTTTGTGCAAGTTTGATGTAAGGAGTCAATATGGTGTTGTAAATTCTGTTCTTGGTGGTGTACTGATCACAGATCGTCTGCAAAAAAAAGTTCACTGCATTCTTCAGTGTCTGTATTTGCCTCCTTCGCAATTCTATCCATGTAAGTAATGAATAGCAATGGTATATGCAGAACTTTAAAGAGGGAAAAACACTTTTATAACTATGTACACTGATGAACTAAGAAGAAGAAAATTTAAGAATACAGACCCAAAATGGTAGTATTCAAAAGTTTGGCAGGAATGCTCAAACTAGAATTTTCAGATACTGTCAACTCAGAACACATTTTTTATTGAACTGATCTCCCTGGCTCAGCCCTCTAGAAATATGGAGAATCAAAGTACATTTCAGATCATGACCTACAAGACAGCCCAGAATTTAGCAAAACAGCAAAAATTTGTTGAAGCCTACCATAGGACCTTGAAGATTTCAGACACACACATCAAAATTGACTAATCATGAAAGAATAAGAATTTAGGCCTTACTAATTAATTAGCAAAGTGTTGCAGCAAAGCTTCTGAATAACTGATTGAACAACTGTTTAAACTGAACTAAAGGGTAACTGACCAATGTTATAAATCTTAACAATAAAATGACAGACAGCAGCTAAACAAAAAGTAAAGACAAAGGGTTTTTGTGGTCAAGCCATCAGCCTCGTACTCTGAAGGTCACAGGTCTGTTTAAGGGCTGTAAAATTTGCTTCATAGGTGCAATTTTTAAATTTTGATGAAGATCTCTGGAAACCATCACCACAGCTAACAAGTTCAAGCTTTGTATGACTCTCATGCAAGCAGCTAGCTGTTCTGCAGGGAGACCGAGCCATATGGGATAAAACCCAGTGCAATGAAGTCAATCTGTTCAACTTTAACTTTCAAGACTAAACAAAGAACTACCAAGCAGCTATGCCTCTTGGCATTATCCTCATTGCATCAAATACTCAATTTCAATATTTACGTGTTCCCTCTTGCTAGAGCCTGGAAAGACCAGTGAAACAACTGCTTAACAGCATCATGGGACAGGAGACCTTCGCCGTACTGCTTCCAGTAAGAGCCCTGAAATATAGCAATAAATATGAGTTCAGCTGAGCTCAGAATTGACATCAAAGCTCTTGTAGCTTTCCCCTATACACTCTTTCCCATCTTCAGTAGCCGATAAAGAGTTCTAATACTAATTAACAGTGTCAGTTGCAGATTGATTACATGCTTGTCTTGCTTTTCCTCTGGGCGTACAACTTCAGTATGGGACAATTCATGGAAGTCATCACAGAATCATGTTGAATAAACTCACAACTTATTTGGTATGTAAAGCTTTTGAAAGAAGTGTAGCAAATCTGTATAAAGTTTAAATATTTTCAAATACTTATTAACAATAAACTATAGAATACTATGTAGAAAACTAAATAATGCCTCTCATTTGTATTGAAATTGAAAACACAAGCAAACATTATGATAATTTATTGCCTTTCATAATTCATTTTATCTCATTCAACCAATCTATATAAACAAAAATTTAAATGTTTGTTAGTGATAGCTAATCTCCAGAAGTTCTTCACCGATTGCTTTAAAATTTTGACACAACGCTGTATTCAAATACGAGCGTTTTTATAAAAGAATGACACACAAAACATGAACTACATAGCACCAGCGACAATCACAAAGGCATCTTGGCTTTGTTTTCCGATAATCCAATATTTTCTTCCGTTGCCGCGTTCCCAGTGCAGGTTTTTTTGGTAGGTGAACTTTTTAACTGTTCACCTCAGAAAACTGTATAAAGGTGTATGTTGAAAGTTCTTTACCGACTGCTTTGAAATTTTGATACAACGTTGCATTAGAATAAGTGCATTTTTATATAACAGTGTCGCACAAAGCACGAACTACATAGTTCCAGTGACGATCACATCTGTATCTAAGTTTTGTTTTCTGACAATCCAATTTCTTTTTTGCTGCTGCGTTCCCGAACTGTGACTGTTGACCTCAGAAATCTGATAGTAGTTGTTGTTGTGGTTGGCCGGGTGGTTACAATGTCTGGCTGTCATGCAGGAGATCTGGGTTCGACTCCCATCAAGATGATAGAGTTTTTCTGTCGGGGCCACAATTAAATATCCTAACCTGAACAGTCCGTGGCTTCTCTGGCTCATGACCCCCTGTCTATACCGACCTAGACAGGTGATAAAACACAGAGTAGTTTTTTTAGTTGTTGTGGTGCTGGTGGTGATGTTAGTAGTAGTCCTGGTACTCAATGGGTTATGTGGTTAATATTAAACTGGCCGTATTTACTTCTAATTACAATTCCTGCTACCCATTTTAGTCTGTGTGGACACAGATGCCAAGATTAATTTTTTTCAAATGTGTGATGAATTTCAAATCCTTCAGACAGGGAAAAGAGGAGTAGTCGGTGGATTGAAGGGGGTGGAGTGGAGGAGGAGGGGAAGGGGTGATGACAGAAACTGGTAACTGAAAGAGCTTGAAACATGATTTTACAGTTTTCATTTCTTAAATTATTTATATTTTAATAACGCTACCTCAGCTACTCAAAAAAAATTTAAATTTTTTTTTTAGACCTACTATAGTAAACTTTACTTTGTTACTTTGAGCTCTTCAAAAAATACAACAAGCTTTAGCAAAGGATATTAAAATAACCATGTTTTTTTTTTAAGTCTTAATAATACACTATAAACGACCACTAATACAAGGACACAATTATATGTTGCATGTTCTAGAGTGGGCCAACCAGACAATGACAGTGAAATTAACCACATTAGACATGTGCACTTTCTATTTTCTTTCTTTTCCAGTTAGCCAGACTGGGCCACAACAACGCGTGGCCGAGTACAGCTAGTGTATAATAACACATAATGAATACTTCTAGCTGAAACAGCAACACATATAGTTTTTTTTGTTGTTGCAGTGTGTTACCATGGTAGTTTTAAACTTTTCAATACATTTTTCTGTTTGTATAGTGCAGATCACAGCATATCCTGAAGGTGTAATTTCCACACAAACCGAACTGACCATTTCAATTATGTGAATGAGTCCAGCACTTGCTATACTATAGAAAAAGTTAGCTATTTTTTTTTACTGGTTGCTTTCATCAGATTTTCAGAGAATTCTACAGCAAAACACCTATTGGGGTACAGCGAAACATTAAACTTTAGGACCTACTTCTGTCGTCAGTACTACAAATAGCAAACAAGCATGAAAATCCCGAAACAGAATTACAGAAAAGAAGAATATTAAACCCTGTTTATTACTATTGGCATACTTTTAAAAAGTAAAGTAAAGTAAAGTTCCCTTTTCACGCCTTTCGGCGCATCGAGCATATGGGCAGAGCGTCCCATATTTTTACAGACCATCAGCACTCTGTGGGTAATGTGGTCAGCATTACGCCGGCTGTCTTTACTTTCCCAGGACAGCCCATCCTGGTACCCATTTTAGGCTGGGTCGACCTGCGACGTCCCATACCACGATAAAAATCCACGCAGCCTGCAGTGGGTTTCGATGGCGGTATGCTGGCTTACGAGTCGGACTCGCAACGCCTTAGCCACGGACGCCGCACGGCATACTGTTGCTGCCATTTTAATCCAGCAGAATCTGGCCTTCTGCCCTTGGACAGAATGCAAAAAAGTGCCTATGTGCATGCTCATTGTAATTAGCTCCTTTTCTTTTATGTAAAATGTTAATTTGACTGTGGCAACATTTACACCCACAATTCCACCCACCCATGCACGCACGAACTCACATACACACACATTCAAGAAGAATAAGAAGAAATAAGACAAAGAACACATAACATTTGTGAATTCCCACCTTCATCATCATTAAGATACGGTTGATTGCTTGTCTCTCAATTGTTTTGTTCTTGAATTTTGAGTATCGTTGTGTCCTAGTGATGAATACAACTAAAGAAGTCACGACATTGTTCCTAAAACAAAAGTTATACAACACTAGCACAATATTGTTTACTGGGCTAAATTTTCAATCATTATGCAAATGTGTAAACAGCACAATTCTATGGAATCATATTTAAGAGGCATCAAGTGACTCCTAAAAAAGGGGTTGTTTGGTCATACATAAATATTAGATTCTGGATAAGACAAGAAATTAAGAAAAATTGCAAAAATACTACAATCTGCAAAAGAAAGGCAACAAAACAGAAACAGAACATTGGTAGAAATTTAAGGAGAAAAAATGAAGGAGAAGAAAAAGAACAAAGGCAGGAGAATGAAAACACATGGAAGAAAAAGAAGGGAAAAAGAACAAAGAAGGAGAAAGAGAAAAAGGAAGGAGAAAGAGAAAAAGGAAGGAGAAAGAGGACAAAAGGAGGAGAAAGAGAATAAATGAAAGTCGTAGTACATCTGCCTGAGAGGCAAGAAACCAACAGTCTGCATATAAATAAGAGATCTGTAAAATGGATGTGCACGCAACACTCGAGTTCTGGAACTAGACCAATGTCCAGAGGTAGATGAACAACCAGAACTTTCAGCTGGAGTTTACAGCCAGTGAACACACAGAAGAAAAAGAGAACAAATGGAGGAGATAGAGAATAAAGAGATAAACAAGAGAACAAAGGGAGGAGACATGAGAACAGAGGTAGGAAAAAAAAGGGGCGGAGATTACCGACAAACTCAATTTACCTTTTCTGTTTTAAAAGTTGTGGTGAGCAGTGGATGCTGGATACGTGTGAACTTTTCCACAAAGCTCCAATCAGCATCAGCCAAGTATCTAGGCATCAAAACTAAGTTACATATTGTAATTGTACACAAACTTGTTTCTTTCTGACTAAAAGCAGATGCAGTGAAAGGACAATCAAACTCCAGTATTCATCCTTAATCTGTTTCCGAGGGAAGGATGAAATTTGAAAAGGACAAATATCGAAAAAATTTCTCCCACAAGAATTAACTAGAAATGGTTTAATTTGTTCCAAACCCTAACATTTTGCCAAGCTATTCTTTTACCACAACTAAATTTCACTCAGAAATCAATCTCGGAAAGCATGCAAATAAACTTTGATTACATATTTACATACCAAACACTGTACTTAAAACTGCTTTATTATTTCAACAGAGATTTACTCGGCCTGATGATGTAAATACCTTTTGGGTAAAACCAATTAGTTATTGTTGTCTGGACTGGGAGTCACCTTCCATTATGACAATGAGTAATGTCAGGTCCAGTGACTGATTTCCTAGATTCATAGCATTACCAGACGATTCACTAGCACTCTGCTTTCAACTCTTTATGGACTAGTTGCCACTTAAGTTCCTTCTGAAACCACCCCATTCAGACTATTCACCATTAAAGTGGCACTTTATAGAGACACTCTAATACTGTTTTGTTTTCTAGTAAAACAAATTTGTATAAACATGTTATTAAAAACTATAATTAGCAAAACAGGAGTCCTTTCATCTTAGATAACTTTCTAATTTGTTTTTAATTACTGAGATGTGATACAATGTGATGAGTATAGAGCTAGTGGAAGACCTCGGGAAATACGGAGTGATGGCAGAGAAGAAGAAGAAGAAGAAGATGATGAAAAATATACAATTTTTAAGTGATTTCTCTAAACTAAATGACAAGGGAAAAGGTCTAGAACTGTACAATCTACTCTGTCGATGAATCTGAGTTAGATAGTGACAATAGTCTTGATATTATGACTGATAATGCAAGTGGCAAACCTACTGGCAATAATATAGGTTAGGATGACGAACAAAATATTTCAGTCAGATCATCTCTGTTTGGATCAGCTGTTTTTCCAATTTCAGTTGTTGTGAAATCTGACATGTCATACAAAAATAATCATAACATTCAAAGTATTTAAACTAATTTAAAAAAAAAAAAAAGACTAGCTGATACATAATTGAACACAGGCGTGTAATGTTAACAATATGCGTATCAATACTGAAAAGACAAAACTAATGACAGATGGAAGAAAGATGCAGGATATAATAGTAGAAAGCAAAGGAATCAAACAGGCATGGGAGTTTAAATATATCGGAACAACAATTATCAAAGATGGCAAACTGGATGAAGAAATTAACTTCTATCTCATACAAAGTGTACTCATTGACACCTAATGTTATCAGTATCAGAGATGGTCCCTCCCTGCTGGAGTAACGATGAGAGATCACATCAGGAAAGTGAAAAAGTTGGCACAAAATCAATTCTAAATTAAATACAAAGACAGCAAAAGGGCAAATAAAATGGTTTGCTCACTTAAAGTGAATGCCTCGTGACACCATACAATAAAAGGTATATACCAAAAGAGGAGAGGTACTCAGAGCAAGAGATAGACAAAGAATCATCTGGAAAAAAACATCACAGAAACTCTAAAACAGAATGATATATCTACAGTTGAGGCATCTAGTAGAGCAAGAACCAGAACCTTATATCTTCCTCAACACATGAAGCAGTACAAGAAAAAGTGAAGAAGAAGAAGACTTGTTACAGTATGACTGCCCATGTCAGCACCGTACTATATACAAAAGAAACTGACAGACTGATGTGGACAATACAATCAGGCAAGCTATGAAGATAAAAAAGCTGTTTTCAAAGGCCATTATAATTCAAAGGATGCACAAATGAGGAAAAATAACACTCAAATCACTGCAGCCATCAGACCCAACTGGAACAATTCCTACACAGAACACAATCCTGAAAACTCAATCACCTCCTCACAACAGAGCATTGTATCTAGACTGCAAACAAGACAACAAACTGCAGCCACATGTACAAGGAATTCAAGACGGGGGATTGTGCTACATGCATTAGGGAGATACCAGGTCTGGTCAGTTTGCCTTTTAGTCAAAACAAAGATGTGGAGGACAGCAATAACACTACAGTTTTCATAGAAGCCTGTGGCCTTCTCATCTGAAAACCACTGACAGGGATAATGGAAAGAAAATGATTCAAAATGAAATAAAGATTACCCCAAAGAGAATAAAGATTACCCCAAACAGAATAAAGATTATCCCACTTCCTGTCAAAATAATTTTTTTTTAAATGAAAAAAAAAATTTGAAAAGTAATTTAAAATGTGTATCCCTTGCACACAAACTTGAGGAAAAGAATGTGTCCACATATGCACCTTCAAAGAGATTCTCTTGATAAAGATAAAACTCTTCAACAGATAGCAGCCTTTATCAGAGTATCCAGAATATTCATGGTCTACCTGAATGATGAATACTAGTGAAAACAGAAGTAGAAAAGGAAGAAGAATGTATGGGTTTTTATGCCCTTTATTAACATAATCTCATTTTTCATTTGTTCCAGGTCACTACAATGATGTACTCACTTGTTATTGTGCTTGAATATGAAGATTGAATCAAGCTGAGTATCTCTTAACATGACATGGGTATTTGCAATTACTTGTGATTTGAACTCATCAAAAACTACAGCACAGAATTTACAAAAAATAAGCATTAGAAGCATACAGCTGACAAGGACATCAATTTTCACCTGTAATGTCAGTATATAAGTGAAATATTTTTTCTGTAAAGGACAAAATATAATCTTAAATATTTTAACTTATTAGGTGACAGTAAAATACCTAAGCTGTGATGGTCATTTAACTCTTTGAGGCCCAAGCAACAATGCTCACACCGCATTAGGTGTCAATGAGTACGCTTTGTATGAGATAGAAGTTAATTTATTCATCCAGTTTGCCATCTTTGATAATTGTTGTTCCGATATATTTAAACTCCCATGCCTGTTTGATTCCTTTGCTTTCTACTATTATATTTAAGTCCTGCATCTTTCTTCCATATGTCATTAGTTCTGTCTTTTCAGTATTGATATGCATCTCTTAACATGACATGGGTATTTGCAATTACTTGTGATTTGAACTCATCAAAAACTACAGCACAGAATTTACAAAAATCCTTTTAGTTTCAAACATTATCTAAGCAACACGTGTATAATTCAAACGGATTCACAGCGAACAATTTTTTCAACAGTGCATTTTCCTAAGTTCGTTTTTGAGTGCCATGAACACCAATGTTTCAACCACAAGTACAGGTCCCAGAATGCGTCTTTCTGCGGCCGAAGCTCTGAAATTGTTTCAGTCAGATGATTTTAATTCGGATAATAATAATAACAATTCCCCCGTGTGGGTTCCGGGGCCCTATTGTGGGGAAAACAAGAATAGACCCACTGCCTCCCCAAAAGCATGTCGTAAGAGTCGACTACCTGGGGAGCTTCCTTTGAAGTCGGAGTGCATCTGCCTGAGAGGCAAGGAACCAGCAGTCTACATTCAATTGAATCAGATCTGTAAAACTGATGCACACGCAAAACTCAGGTTCTGGAGCAGGACTGCAGTCCAGAAGTGGACGAACAACCAGAACTTTACGCCAGAGTGTAAAGTTGGTGAACGCGAAGAAGAAGAAGATAATAACAATTAATAAAAATTTTAATTTTTCGGAAAGTGATTCAGATGGTGAATTTTTACCAGCGAAGCTGAGCGATCAGCTGGTGGGAATCTAGCGATTTTGATGAGTTTACATAGACAATGTTCTATTGCTACCGTATTTATGGTGTAAGAAAAGGAAAGTGCTTCAAGCAAAGAGACAGTACTATACTATGGCTAAGCTACACTGAAATCATTGCAACTACATTCTGTATATAACTGTACAAAGTCAATAGTAAATAGTGTGTGTTATGGCCCATTTTTCTGCCATTTCTTCTCTGAAATATTGCTTCACACTCTGTGAGAACTAAGAGCCCATGAGTGCTAAACTAACCCAGCAACATATTATAACTTTAGAATTTGTTAGGAAATTGAACAAACTTTGAAGTTTTGTTCTCAAATTTGGATATTTACTACTCTTGTGCATGCAAAACTATGGTAAGTGAAGAATTCTCTAAATGTAAAGAATTTGATTTAATTTGATTTGATTTAAAGAATTCTTCAAAGGTAAAACAAGCAACTAGAAAATTGAATTCAGTCTCTGTAGATGTGCATACAAAGATCAATAGGCTGTATTTTATGAAAACTAAAACAATCAAATACATAGGTTCTGGAGGAATTGGAAATGAACACAGTGAGTTACCAAAATAATTTTTTTTAATGAGAGATTGAAATATTTTAGCCACAATAAAAACATAACTTTAAAAAATACAAGGGAAAGGTCAAAGACAGGAGAGCAAGAGGTAGACAGTGATACAAGTGGGAGAACAACATCCAAAGTTGGACTAGCAGGTTTGAGAGAGAGTACTACCAAGATCAGAGATAGAAGGTGTTGGAGATCCATTACAGCAAACCTTCATTGTGGAGACAGCACCTGACTGATGAAATTTATATTCCTTAAATATTTATATTAACACTGATATTAAAACAGCTCACAAAGTTTTCACATACCTCTAAATTTATCTATTTATGTATAAACTAAAGTAAATAAAGGATCTTTTCCCATGCTTTGAGATGTATTGGCTATATGATGCTAATCCCATAGTTTTCTCAACACATGATAGCTGATGTTGTCAACATGGATCACCACTTTTAATTTCCAGAAAATTTCCTGGTATAAATTTTAGCCAGGAGGCCAGATTGGTGATGTAAAAATCCATTGCCAAGTGGAAACAAATACATTACCACCAGGCAAGTATGCTAGAAACTGCACTGGCAACTCACTATGTACAGACATACATTTGTAAACACATATATGTAAACATGTTTGTTTTATACATATATAGTATGAAAATACTTTTTTTTCTGCAGAAAAGACACGTGTCTATAATCATTTCTCCTTGTAGCATGCAACAAAAATTCAATCTTATTACAGACACAAATGTATGAAAATATGCAGTCGGGCTTTCATAAATACTAGATCACTGTTTTTTTATAGTCAGATGACCACCTTCCTACCTGCCCGCATTTTCTTTTTAAAGAGCTATTCTAGTCCAAAACTAAAACCAGTCAGGATCTTCTTCAGGTAGGAACTGTCCTTGTCTTTGTCCTTTTGGGGGGGAAAAAAACCAACCATGTTCAACTTAATGCAAGAGTTTCAGTTATCTTTGTGGTCTGGTTTCTTTGTGCCAAGTGTACTGGCTAAAATGCGTTAATTGTGCCAAATATAATGGCTTTTAGGAGATGGCAGTATGCTACCATTATATTATCACAGTGTTATCATTATTTAACCACTGTGATACAAAAGCTTTAATATGAAATATACATTAGATTACTGCAGGTTTTCCTAAGCCCCAAAACATCTGCTGTGGAATCCATTACATTAGTGAAGATTACATAAAGACAAATGTGACAGTGAGGCTATACAAGGATAGTGATGAAAGTCAAGATAAATAACATACTGACAGTTTTCAAGAAGAAACAAAATACAAGGCAAACACCAAAAGAGGAGAGTAATGTAGAACACAAGGTAGACCAAGAACAAGACAGAAAGATAACATCAGAGAAACTCTACAACAGTGCAATGTGTCCTAGTCAATACGGGTATCTGAAGTTGCAGACGGCCACCAGCACAAGGCTGTTCAATGAAAGACAGTAGTTTTTGTTCTTCAGTTGCAGATATAACATGGCAACAACAACTCTGCAGAGCAAGAAACAGAACCTTAAACCTCCTTGAATACACAAAGTGGTAAAAGAGGAAGTGAATATGTAGAAGAACAAGAACAAAATTTTAATTTTAAATGTTAACATTTCAAAGCTGACTTTACCATCATAACGAAGCACTCCATTAGCAATTGTGGAATTAAACAGCAGTGATAAAACAACTTGACTCAGAGCAAGAGAAAACATCTGAAATGAAGCCAACATCCACTGAAAATATTATTAAACAATACAAATGTCATTGAGACATAGTTACTTTATATAAAACTATATTTATAGATTTCTATAAACCTCAAAACTGTTAGAAATCTATGTGCTACTTTAATTGGCATGCATTGTGGTCAAAAACAAATTGAATGTACCTCAGCCATTTGTAAAAAGTTCCAATTACCAGCCATTTTAAACATATAAAATAATGTGACAGTTCAATAACAGGGTTTTGACATACAAAGAAAACATAGCGAGGGGATGTCTAAGGTCAACTTAAATTACAGGAAACCTCATTAACAAGAATCCACATGGACCACAAATAAGGTCTTGTGTTTGAAAAAATCTGTGGCAACCAGGGACTAATTTCATTATCCCCGCTGGGATCACATTTTTGTTCGTTAACTGAGTGTTCTTCCGAAGTGAGTTTATGTTAATAAGGATTTACTATTCTTAGTTTCTGGTGCAATTTTGTAAAGACATAAAAATGTGCACACTTGGAAAGACTCTTATACAATGTTATTAGATGTGTTCTAGCAATAATAGGAATATATTTTTAACAAGAAACAGTTAAACATGTTATGAAGCAGTGTTTCATTTGTTTCAACTTGTTTTGTGATCTGAAACACAAAAATGTAAATCTACATCAGTAAGTAGCCTTTTTGACTAAATTTTACTATCTTATCCAGTGCAAAAGTAATTAAATATTGAAATATTTAGTCTGATTATCTGTTTCATAAATGTTTTATTTTGTTTAGTTCACCATAGCAGTTACATGCCTTTTGAAAACAAATGTTCCTAATTTGGCAGGCTCATTTCTTGACAAACTGCATTATTTGCAGGATAACAAAATGTTTTTAATGACCACCAACTTCCTAATGAAAGATTCTGCTTCCTTCTTCTGAACTGTAATTTAGTATTCCTGATTAGCACCCATCACTTGCTACAGACATTTTTGATTTGTGGCTTGTAGTTTCAGAATGTTAGATTTTACTAGTAATACCCAGTCCTAAAAACTAATTTACTAGTTAATTAATGAAAGTCTTCATTAACAATGCCATTGCTTCTTACTGTTTTGTCTTTTTTTAGAGACATTTTTGCCATGGATATAAAAGCATTCAACAGTAACATTTTATAAGAATCTTAGCCACCCATTTAGTGCAACAGAATTGTTACAAGATACTATGTAAACATTACATTATACTACAATTTTTAACTGTCTCTTCATCTTCTCATTATCCACCACTAGAGTGTAGATAAGTTCCTCAGATTACTCAAACTAACTGTACATATAGTTTTTAATACTGCCTATAAAGCCTGTATGAACCCCTTATAGAATGATGTAAAGTTAAAAGTTAGTTGCGTATCCTTTACAGGATGATGCAGAACCAACCAAACATTTTTTGGCTGATGTCGCTTTTCTAGGCAAATTTTACGTTCAGTAGTTTGCCAGTGCATTTCTAAACGGTCAGCTCTCTGTACCACTGTCGAAACCAGCGCAAGAAAAATTGTCCGCAGCAGGGATGCAACATGGCACTCTGAGATTACAAAGCGCATTTTTAACGCCTAAGCCACAGACCCCGACACAGAGTGATGTAGGACAGGGAAAAGGGGGAGAGGAGGGAGGTTCTTGAGCCTGAGGATTTCAGATGGCAAAACTACTGCAGTCATCAAAAAATTTGCAGGTAAGGTAATTTATTTTTGCCTTGGCAGAAAAAAATCCAACACCTTACTGAGGATTCGAAGCCGGGTCTCTTGAATGAGAGTCTAGCATACTTAACCACCCGGCAAGCTGCTTCTCATTTTAAAAATAATGAAGAATTTTATTATTAGTAGACTTTTCTTTACCTTCACTTCGTTATGGATTCTAAAGTTCTCCTGCAGCAAGCAAAATGTTAAAAGGATGGTTACAACACCCCTGATGTTGCAGACAGCCACCACCAAAAGGCTGTTCAATGACAGACAGTAACCTTTGTTCTTCAGTTGCGGATACAGCATGGCAACAACAACAACTCTGCAGACAAACCGAGTGTAAAACGGTTATTTCATTGTAGCTTTCACTAGGTCACTCATTTTTGTTAAAATATCAGATGAGACTTAATTACTGTTTGCATTTTTCACAGTATTTGGTACTTTCATTTTAACTCACCCCAAACATGGGTACTCCTGGAATCGCCGGAAAAGTCCCATATTCAAGGGTTTTTATGTCATTTTTTTTCGTTTGGTGTTCATACAATGTGCAAAACAGTGTGTGCACTGTGTGGACAAACTGTGGCGAAATAGTGTAGACAAACTGTGCACAAATTGTGCAACTTTTATTGTGTGAAGGAACACTATGTGCAATTGTCAAAGAGATGAGAACTGAAATATTGGTGGGGAAAGGAGCTTAAAAGGGCTGCTAGTCTACATGTATACTGCTGGGTTACTCACGAGTTTACAATCACACAATTTTACATGGTCAGTAGATACAGAGATGTCAAATACAGCAACTGACTGAACTGCTGATAAGTCGACACTGACCGACTATTATTGTAGTGGCCACCATTGAACAATGTTGGAAAGAATGGTTGCGAACATATTATGGCCAGCACATTTAGTGTGTCTACACCACCTAAACTACAAAACGTTGAATTCTAGGAGACACGCGTGCATTCCTTTCTGCTGCTTTTTTTTTTCCTTTGCCACTCTCCAACGTACATTATTGAAGACAGAGAGTGATGGAAGTGGCTGACTAAAAGCACATCAGCTATGGCACCAGTATAACCCCCAAATGGGAATTATAACATACAAGTAGAAGAGTAATCCTCTCAAAGAACAAACAACCAAAACTCACTGACCTGATCAGATTCAGTAGTATAAAGATTTCCATGATGTTAGCGCAGTCGGTCCAGGTCAGCAAGGGGAGAATCACTGACAGTTTCATGCCACACAACATGATTACATTACAGTTGAAGTAGCTTGACATCACATGCAGAAATCTAATGTGGAAAAAGAAAGGCTCACTTGTCAATTACTATTACTGCCTAACAAGAATTACAAGCATACACATATTTATAACTACTGTATCATTATGTTTTATGCAAGTAAGTGTGGATTATCGTATTTCACCATAACTAACAGACTGAGAAACTGTGTTAGGCCATGCTAAAGATATAGCTCTTTATGTTCTTTATTTATGTGAAACCAGTTTTATTTTGTATCATCAATGTAATGAAATATTTTGATCTGGGATAGAGTGCCATTACTTCTGTCTTCTTATTAAAGCTGGGGTAATTTCTATATTTTCAACATCCACAGCATTAACACTACAATCAATTTTTATATTTCTTCCTCACTTGTTATACGAGGACATAAGAGTGCATGGGCATTTACAGCTTGCTCTTCAGGCAGAACAGTTCAAGAAGCCAGCGGTGCCTTCTCCATGACCACCAGCAGCATGATGATGGGGGTGATGGTGGTGACACAAGTTTTCATGCGGCTAGAATCACATGACTATTCCCGCATGTGTGTGCTGAGTGACTCTTTGAGCGTGATCCAGCGGGTCGAGGCAGGACTAGTTACGCAGACAGTTGTTTGAGTCATTGCAATACTCTCCTGTGTGTGCAGTTACCTTCATATTCGTCCCAGGGCATGCTTGCGCTGTTGGTAATGAGAGAGCTGATAGACTGGCTGGTGCTGCATTAATTGAAGATGACCGGGCCCATAGATCACGCAGACATTGTCATTGCCCTTAGAGAGATAAGACGTTCTGAGGATTTTGGAAGCAACATGTCCACATCACTGCTAAGAATACGCATATTGGGAGTAAAGATCGGCACAGCCAAGCATGAGAAGCACACTGGACGCACACGAAGTCTTGTTAACCAACATAGGACTGGCACTATTACCAGCACGACGCTGATGCATATGTGGAGAGGGGAATCTGAGCGCCTATGGATGTGTCCCGAGTGCTGCGAAGATAATCTAACTCATAAATCATAACTTGTTATAATCCTAATAGTGTTATCAACTTAATTTAAACTGTTTTAATTATAACCAACTACAACAATCCCTGGTATATTTTCTATGCATTTCATTAGATGCTAACTTTTTAATGAAAGCAAATCAATGGACAGTATAATTTAACATCTTAGGATGGGTAACAAAGATTGGTATGTACAAGTCCCACCTAAAACATGGGAAATGCCTGTGTGGAACTCACAGCCTCTGCCAATCAAGTAAACCGTAACTACATGTGGTGCTTCCTGTTTAACAAATACAGCTCTGGCGCACAGTGAGTCTCCATTGCTAATAAAATAGAACCCCCATTCCTGAAGGTGTAATATACTAGGCTATGGCTTGTGTAAGCCAGCAGAAACCCTCAGTGGAGTGTGACCACCCCCCCCCCCCCACCCCCAAGGTGCAGCTAATGCTGGACCCACCGGCATGTGGACATGTCCCGATCCCCACCAAGGTCATCACACCCAGGAAGCCCACCCTGGATAATCAAAGGGGGAGAAGAATAACTCCCACAACCTCTGATCTCTGGCAGGCAGTGTTTGGATGAACCAGGAGATTCAGTAACTTCCTCCACCGAAGGCAGACATGATCATAAAAGTTCTGTAGTAAGTTAATAATTTAACTGTTTCATTTCTATTTGTTGCTACAATAAATTAGTTCTCTGATCGGTTATATTTATGTAGCCTCTCTTTATCTGTTTTTTTTTGTAGTGACTGGATAACTCACCCATTCTATTATAATCTACCTTAACTACAATGGCTACACTAACAAATGTGTGTGTGTGTTGGCAATACTGATTTTTTCTGAATTTTTCAAAAGGCAACTAAATCAGCAACATTTTTATTCTGTGTGAATGACCCATTCAACCTGTAATGCTGGGAGCATTTTGTCAGGTTCTTCTTGTATTAATCCTAGTATACTTCTTCCAGTAATGCTTGAAGGGATGCTTGTATTTCACACCTTCCAAATAAAAACCAAAAAAGACATAACACGTTTATTTTACCTCAAAAGAATCTTCTCTGTGTTTTCACTCAAGTTTGACCTCCTGCCTGTCATAAACATTCCCATGAAGACTATAGCTATCACACCACTCATTCTACTGATCTCAGCTACAATCAGAAATCATACATGAGCAAATTATACAACTTGACAAACATTTACAATTAAATACACTAAAATTTCATTTAAAAAGAGAACAAAACTAGTTACTAAGTCTAAATACTATGATCTTTTTATGATCAGTTTATGTTCCACTAAAAACTGTGGAGGCTTTTGTTTTATGAATTTAATTATGGTTTTAATATTTCACTCATTTAATAAAGCAAAACTATAATACTAAATCAATCAAAACACTGGCAAGGTACTGTGTATCTATCCAACAAGCTTTACTGAAAGTGACTTACTGCTACATGAAATTGATACATCTTTGTAATGTCTGAAACAAGCTAACTTAGAATATCTTATGCTTCTCAGTAACTGCATATGTATTCTGTAATTTAAAATTGTATATAAATCAGAAATGGCATAGACAGTTTTTCAGTAAGTGTCTGAGAAATGTGATAATGTTGTCTGTTGTTGTTGTTGTTACTGGCACAGATCTGGTGAATCAATAAAATATTTAAATGCATGATCAATATTTTATGTCACATTCAGAACACAAATGAATACTTACCCACTAAATAGCAAGCATACAGAGAGGCAATGACTATACACACTTGATTCACAGAGTCCTTTATGATTCTGGACATCCAGTAAGCAATGGCTTTTGCTATTATGAACCCAAACAAAGGGCTTACACAAAGTCCCATTGTGTACTCTGAGTTAACAATAAACAAGTATTTTATAATCAACATCATGTTGGTTTCAAACCAAATGTCACTAACTGAACACTGTGCTAAACACTTTGTTTTCATCTTTTACTGCATGTAGAAAATGTTTGTGTTTTTTTTAAAACATATTTTCTGCACATGCTACTCAGATCTACATACTGCATTTCACTCACAAATATTGTTTTCAAAATATTTAAATTACTGATAAATCCTTTATGATCTTTCACATTTTTGTGGGTTTGGATTGCTGTGTTGTATCCTCTTTTATTTTGATCGTAGACCATCTTGCTGCATTAACATGTCAACATTGAGAAGCATGTCATTTGCAAAATCTTTCCCCCATGACAGCCTCTTTGCCCAAACATGTTTTTTTTTTCATTTTTTACCTTTACCTGTGCTAATCTTATTGTTTGTATGTGACAAAGACATTCAGTTTTTTTTTTTTTAGTAGTTGTAAAATGGTTATGTTTATAATATATAATGTAATAATATACATAACATATAATTTTGCATTTTATATATTTCTATACACATACACACACAAACATATACATACATACACATAGTCATCATCATTAAGTACCTTGCCTAGTGGCGTGGGCGATCATGCCTCTCCACAACATGCCATCTTCAGCAACATATATCATGTTCCAGTTTCCTTCTCACAACATGACCAACAAATGATGACTGTCTCTTTCTGATGTGTGTGATAAGTCATCTTCAAGTGTCAGGCATAGATGTATATGTTTCTTAGTGGGTGTTAAGAACACTACAACTTGTAGTAGTTGGGGTAAGGCGGCTTATGGTTACAGAATACCTCTCTAACTGAATTTAAATATCATGTAGGGTGATTTGATTTCAGGGAAACCAAAAATGTTATACCCTCAAACCCATTTACCATTGCTCTTTGTCCTTATGGATTGGAATTATTTTTTCAAATATAAAACAAAAATGGTAAATTTTTAATACACACTGCAGACATTAGCTTTTTCTGCCCTAAAGAATGCATCAAATGTTATACACTATTTTACATGTGTAACAATCAATGTGTGATTGTACTTCTAACACTTGACAGGAGCATACTAAAGAAATCTGTGTCTGTGAACTAGCAATGTTTTTACTATCGTTGTCATCATTATTCCGTTGGACGTGCAGTGAAATATCGTAATACGAAGTTAGATGTCATGATTGCATGCAAAAGTGGTTTTTGTAGCATTCTCAAACTTATTTTGAGCGGAAATGTGCCGACGATACAGACACATGAACCACGGACATGAAGGTCAGTGGGCGTTTTTCACCGACTGAGATTTATCACCACCCAGAAAACTGGCTTACCGAGAGACGTCCCACAACATGTGTGACTACGATAGAATTGAACGGTTTCAAAAGATGGTAATGATAGGGAAGAGAAGAGAAAGACAAAATGCTAGAAGCTGGACTAGCACACTGAACTATAGGCATCCGGGCCATCCCATTCTCCGAGGTTACTTCGTAAAACATTATACACGCGGTATTTCCAGCGGCCTCTAAAGGCTACTTGCCCGCTGCTATCTGTGTGAGAGAGAGAGAGGACAATAGATTGTACACCGGTGTAACGTGGAACATGATACTGATTTACTCTACATTAGCCATCAACCAGTATACGCCCCGTTCCCTTGGACACCTAGGCGCCATTTAATAGAGCAACATTTGTTCTGACGCGGGCGAGTTCACGAATGGAAGAAGAAATAATTACAGACATTTGGAGTTCTCTTTTTACAAATAGTTTCCCTTTACCTCATCAGGCTACACACACAGGAAGGCAGTTATGTCATACAGGGGCGACACCGTGCTGATGGGTGTTACGTCCCTGGCCCCTTACCCAGCACGAGGGCACCACCGGGGTGACAGTTAATAAACCCTTACTATATATATATATATATATTTTTTTTTTTTTTAAATTAAATATGGTAGACAATTTTGATGAACTTAATCCTTGCCAGAGCTACGGATTTCGTGCGTCTGTGCTGAGATCCGATGCAGCAGCATCTACACGGTACAGAAGGAGAAGAAGACAACATGACAGAAAACGGCGCAATAGACGGGCTGGTACACGCAAAAACCAATCTAAATCAGAACGCCTTAGCAAGGGAAATCTCCGCATTCTTTGCTGGAACTGCAGGAGTGTTCGACAGAGAGGCCCAATCTTAGAGAAACTGATATATGATGCTGATGTAATCGCACTTCAGGAGACCCGGCTGAATACAGAAGAAGCTCTGAATGTCTCAGGCTTCCAAACGTACTACAACAGTAAACACCTAGGCCAAGCGATCCTGGTCAGACGCGAAATAACATCCTCAGTTGTAGACACGAGTGCATGGAACAACAGCGACATTCAGGTCCAGGCCGTAAAGGTAGACGGGAGTAAACCTTTCACTCTAATCAACATCTATGCCTGTAATGATAAAGTTGACAAAGAAAAGTGGACAATATTAAGTGACATGTGCGAGCAGATAACCACCGTCATCATTATGTGTGGGGACTTCAACGCCAAAGGTCGTCTATGGGGCAATCCGACGGTCAATAAGCAGGGCGAGGATTGGAGGAAGCACTAACAGACACGGATTTAATCTGCTTGAATGATGGCAGACCCACCAGAATCCCCGACAGAGAAGGTGATACTGACAGTGCCCTTGATCTCACGCTGGTCTCTCCCAGTATGAGTGCACTCTGCCAGTGGGGCATACTGGGACATCATGGAAGCGACCACCTTCTATGTTGGATTCTGGTCAAACAAACAATCTGTACAAGGTATCAGAGACCATCCACTACTTTCTAGTACGCTGCACATCAGCCTAATGTAATTGGGCGTCTGCGAGACAGGTCACGCAGAACACCGGGAAAGAAGAAAGCTATCTTTCAACAGCTCCCGTGGTGGACACCTGAAGTCGCAGAAGCCTGGACAGAGAAACGAGGTGCCACCAAAGACTGGGAGAAATGCAGAAAGTCTTCGAATTTTACTGAGGCGCTGAAACAAGACATTAAACACCAAAAAGACAGACTCACTGAACATTTTAAACAACTCGCTAAGGAGTCTAAGCACACAATGTGGGAACATTTTTGCGAGGAAACAGGTTATGAAAAATCACTTAAAAAATTCTGGCGGCTTCAAAAAAAGATGAACGGAGGCAAACAAACCTCTGTTATGCCCGAGCTAAAGATGGACAACGGGGTGATGTTACAATCGGATAAAGACAAGGGCGAGGCTATCCTGCACAGATTTCTTCTTCATTTGTAGACTGGAAGGATGTAGTTTCGTCGCCCAGCTTCTGAGTTGAGTGCATGGCGTGACACTGTGAGCTGCGTTTGTTTTTTGTTGGCACAGGAGTGGAGCATATGTGGGGTGACCCGTTTGCTATGAAGCTGAAACTAGGATTACCAGATTACCAGATACTAAAGAAATACATAATAAAAGTAAGTAATGGGATATATTAACTAAGTAATGGGAGATATTAACACAAACTTAAATAACAAAAATATGGATGCTGACAGAGCCATGGGAAAAGCAGTTAAACCAATACATGAAAATGGAGAGTACCTAGCTGAATTCTGTATTCAATTAGATCTAGTAGTTAGCTGCACCATCTTTGCTCATAAGGAGATTCACAAAACTTGGCAAACACCAGATGGAGTGACTAAAAATCAAACAGACCATTTTTTTATCAACAACAAATATAGAAACTCTCTGATGGATGTCCAAGCATACAGAGGAGCAGATGTGGGCAGTTACATGCTAGAAAACTAAAGCTTAAATGTTAATACCTGGGAAAAAAACATGTGCAACAAAGAACGGATAGTCGAAGACTTTGCAATGTAAAAATAAAAGAAGAGTTTTAACTTAACCTGAAAAACAGATCTGAAGAACTGAAGGGAGATTAGAGCACTCACGACAAATGGAATGATATAAAGACCACAATTTTAGAAGTAGCAACAATTGAAGCAGGACCAAAGAAGATGACAGAAAACCTTGGATCAGTGACAACACATGGCAGTGTATTTAGGAAAAAAGAAAACTAGAAGCTTTGGAATTTTGGAATGCTATGGTAAAGCAATTAAAACAATGAAAATTATTAAAACAAAATGTATGAATGTTCAGAGTGTGAAGTGCGAACAAATGATGGTTTAAGTGCTTGGTTCAAATTTGAAACTGGAGTGAAACAGAGAAGCATTTTATGACCTGTTATTTGAGATAACCACTGAATAAGTGATGAGAAAATGTTACACTGGAAACATCGCCATTCAGTGGGTGGAGAATTCACAGCTGGAAGATCTTAATTATGCTGATGATGTTGTTCTGCTAGTACAATAATGACATGCAAAGAGAAAGAGATGATTAGGCCATATAAAGCAATAAAAAACTAGACAACAAATAAGTTATGAAAAGAAAAAAATGTTGAAGACACTAATAACAGATCAAGATGTAGCCCTAGAAACAAAAAGAATTAAAGTAACAGATTAATTCACTTATTAAGGTAGTCTTCTTCTTCTTCACGTTCACCAGCTGTAAACTCTGGCGGAAAGTTCTGGTTGTTCATCCACTTTTGGACTACAGTCCTGTTCCAGAACCTGAGTTTTGCGTGTGAATCCATTTTACAGATCTGACTCATTTGTATGCAGACTGCTGGTTCCTTGGGTCTCAGGCAGATGCACTCCGACTTAGAAGGAAGCTCCCAATTAGTCCACTCTTAAGACATGCTTTTGGGTAGGCAGTAGGTCTATTCTTGTTTTCCCTATAATAGGGCCCCGGAACCCACACGGGGAATTAAGGTAGTAATTTTAATAGTCAAGGAAATACAATGAAAGAAAATATAAAAAACACTGGAAAGGCATCAGTGGCTTTTGAAAGCCTGAACGAATATGGAACTCTTAATTGTATAGTGTTTAAACAAAGTTACCAATTTTCAACATATGCCCGTGAAAGCTGGAGAGGTGTTGGCCCCATATTTTACACCCTAACCTGTCTCTCCTTATCTGTTCTCTTCACTCTGACATGTCCAATCTGAGATCCCCTGTTGGTATTCTGGCTACCATCAGAATAGCTTTCAGGGTCACTGAGAAGTGCCAGTTTCCCCATTACAGCAAGCTGGAGACACCTTCAGGGCAGGGCTGCTCTCCTTGTAAACAAATATTTCATGAGAACTTCTGTCCACAGCAAAATATTTTATAGCATATTTAGGATCTGGTGTTTGTATCACTTTGGCAGATTCAGAGTTTGCCTATGACACACCCCCATCAGTGGTGCTGTTAAAAGAAAAATCCAGTTTTGCAGGAGAAGGAAGGAATAACATTTTGCCTCATATGCTGGTTTTTCATATAATATGTTTTTTCAATTAGCTACTGATAATCAATTCATCTTTGCAGTAGTTTCATAACAATGCTACTTACAACAACAACAGTTTGACAAATACCTTGTAAATAATGAGTACTGCTGACAGACCAAAGAATGCATAATTTGAAAATAATGACAGCTACACAATTTCCCATGATGGCTTCACTTTCCAGAAAATACTGAAGTTTCAATGACGCAACTGAAAGGAGATGAAGATTTACATTCTACTGCAAATTAAATGAAAATCATAAATTGCTGTCGAGATACCATTTCAAATGTACAAGATCTACCAATAAAATCTGTTTAATGTGTGTGACTCATGTGTATGAATGAGATTCTTGATATTATTTAGTCCTGTTGTGCACTCTAAGTATGGGGACCACAGCACTCATAAAGGTATCTGTCTGCACTGAAAGAGGTCCTTTACAAGACCACGCACAGCTGAAATAGTTATAGTGCCAGTGTTAATAATATATATGATTAGGTAAAATCCCACAATCATGTTTAATACATACAGCCACTATCTAGTATATATCTGACTATGTTCTACTGAATTATTTGCAAACAAGTGAAGATATTTTTATGTGATACCTATGGTTTTGTTCCGTCAGATGTGAAATTTATACAAGGTTGCAGTTTTCAATAAATGTAATTTTTAAAAACAGCTCATTTACGTGTGTAAAGGCTGTACCTGTCTTCTGAGAAGATAATTTTAGGAAAAGATAATTTTCTTAGATTTTCACAGAGACCCACGCTGAAAAAGTAGTACCTGTGGCCGTGTAAGAGCAAGTTACAGTTGTCAATTTAAGTTACAAGAGAGCGTTATGTGCAAATGAATTTAAAGCCAGTTAAAGCTGGGCAAGACAATTTACAACCCAAAATGAGCTTGTGATTTGGCAGCTGACAACAATGGCACAGCGACTTCCCGACACTTACCAACATAAACGGTTTTGTTTCAAAGACATGTTCTGAAGTAACAGAAGACACACAATTACAGCATGGGGACAGATGGAAATGCAGATGAAACTCCTGTTTATTAATAAATGTTGTACAAGAACATGTAGGCCTAAAATTCGATTATAAGCTGCACCCTATTTTTCATCAATGATTTTTCAGTTACAATACTGTGGCACATACATATGTATAAATACAGTAATTATTTCACATTATGAGTTGGAGAAAACGAAGGCAAAAAAGAATAGTGATTGTGATTTTAAACTCCTTCACATCTGTGACCTAGGAAACCATAGTAGTGCGGTGGCTTGATACTCTGCCACCCTGAAGTCTTGTGTTCCAATCCAGTCTCTGTGGACTTAGACACACACAAAAAGACTGTCTTGGTTCCCAGGATGAATCTGCCTGCTACTATGAAATACCCTGGAAAGTAAAGGCGGCCGATATGATGCTGATCACACCACCCACTGAGGGCCAGTTAGTCTATACAGATATGAGTCCAGTATCATGTGCCTGGCATGAGAACTGTACTTAACTTACTAACCCTCATCTGTTTTTTAACCCTGTTGCTCCAGCAACACTAACAAAATCTTTAAAATCAATTTCACACAGGTCACACACACAACAAATATTTATTTATTTATCTACATTTTATGACTGAGTGGCCATGGTGTAGCGACTAGACGCTTGCCTGAGGATCGGAAGGTGGTGGGTTCGGGTCCTGACAGAATCGGGACATTTTTTTTCAAAAATGACCTTAGCTCCTAGGTTGACCCAGCCTCAAGTGGGTACATAGTGCAGTCCTTGGAAGAAAGGCGACAGGGGTGATGCTGACCACATCACCCACAAAGTGACGACTGGTTTATAAAATATAGGTCTAGCCCTATATGCCCAATACTTCTGAAGGAAAAGAAAAAACATGTACAGAGTTAAGCATTAAATAACATAATAACATACATTCCCTGGGGATTAAAACAATGTTTCAGGTGACCCATGCCATAAAATCTATCAGTGAAGAGTAGGGGCAAATTTGACCTCAACTTGGCTTTTTAAAAATGCTATTTGGATCTCAAGGAAACCTAAATGCTGTTTTAGTAACTATGTTCAATTCTGCCACCCTAACCATTGCACAAGCGCAAATATAGCTAATAGCATTTCCTTCACAACTCGTAAACATGTCCCTCTAAACAAATCAGAAAAGTTAAAATTACGGTGAATTAGAACAAACCAGAGGGTCAGTTTTGCGGCTTCTCTGAGTGACAAGGTTAATAAACTAAAAACCCTAAACACTGTATGCAACACGGATGAGGTTCTAAACTTGCAACTAACCCTACAACAAATGCTTGGTAATTGCAAATTCATGATAACAAACACAAGCAATGTCACAGTCAAGCAATCAATAATTCACAAAATAAATATAAATATATACCTACTGAGCCTTTTTAGAAAAGCCATTGTCACAACTGGACCAGGTGCTACTATTATCGAAGTTAAGAGAATAGCATGGTTCCATCGCCAGCCATAGTCAAAGACCACGATCACAATTAATCCAATAACTCCAATTGAGAACACTTAAAAAACATCATACACAAAATTAATATAACATATAATGCAAAAATGTTGTTGGCTCCCAGGTCAACACAGCCTCAAATAGGTACCAGGTTAAGTCCTGGGAATTAAAGGCAAAAAAGCACGATGCTAACGATATCACCCACCAAGTGTCACCTGGTTTATAAAACATAGGTCTAGCCATATACGCCCAATATGCTTGAAGACATAGAAAAGGGTCCTATTATTTTTAAATATACAAATACTGTCACAGTGGGTAAAACATTGTATATGGACCTTTGTCAGTTAATAATTCCATAACAATCTTCAAAACCTATTTGTCATTCAACATAATTATCACCCGCAGCAAATAGAATGAGTAAAAAAGACAAAAGTAGTATAAGTCCTTTTATCAGATAGGTAAACAATGGTCAACAAATAAATCAGCTGAGCTACTGATTTCCTATATCCATAGCATGTGTGTGTGTGCATGTGTGTGTGTGTGTGTGTGTGTGTGCATGCGCGTGTATGCACTAGCGCGCAGAGTCGAGTAAGCTAAGTATAAACTTTTTTCCCCACATCTTATTCTACCAGGTTCACCAGATGATCCATGTGTTAATATTCCAATCAGCACTTGCTGGCTGATTTGGTCAGAAAGAACGATATCAGAAAGAAATTGTCAACATTTTTTTTAAATGACAGAAAAAGAAACACTGAAATTCAGAGAGTACTTGGTCAGAAAGTGATAAAAATCATAGATAGGAAATATTTTAGAAAGTATCTCAAACAGCACTGGTAGACATCTCATAATGAATCAAGAAACTGAACCAATGCAAAATAGTTGCAATGGTGCATGATTACATACAAATAGAGAATAGAGCTGCAGTGATCTGTTCTATTTAGAATTCTAAAGAAAAATGATGAAAGTGAAATAAGTGAGCTTCTATAAACAATAAAAATTGTACTGAGTCTATATGAAGCCACAACAAAATATATATATTTGAAATGTTGTAACTTACGAAAGTTGAGGAACACCAATATGGTGACTTGGGCACCAGCAATAACAAATGACTCCAAGTTGGTGAAACATGATGCTTCAAACATAATCACTGGAATAATCATGTGCATCACTATGTGAGGGTTGCTTTCTGTTAAAACTCTGAATCCAATCTCGGGATAGTAAGAATCCAAGTAGCCTGGTAAAAAAATCATAAACACAGAGGTGAAGATGCAATGTGTCTGACACCAAGTCTGTACTGTTAGTTGTCTGTTTCCATTATGGAAAAAAAGGTTTTGTTCACATTCACCATTAAGTGTAATAATTTTTTTTTTCTAAACAACAATTTATTTTTCAATTTTTCAAATATTAATAGTACCAAAAAGTTTAGTGTGGGTATTTGCTAGTTTTCAAATCCATTCATGTAGTCACAATTTGTGTTCAATAATTGAAACCAGTATTTTTAGTTGCCTTGCAGAGTAAGTCTGTTCAGACAAGGCTAATGGAGTCAAATAATACAAAGACAAGGGGAAACCCACCGCTATATTTTCCATAGTAAATCAGTATGGCTGTGAATCTTGGACAATTAATAAACATGCCAAACAAATTCTTTAGGCCTCATAAATGTGGTTTTTCAGAAAAATCCTTAAAATTTCTTGGATAACCAAAAAAGAGCAACTCAGATATTTTGAAAAAGGGCTTAAAGGCAACTAATCACACTGGTCACTATTCATTTTTTTTATCATCTTCATCGCACATCGGATACAACCATAAGTGCTCCGATCTTCTCCTGAGTATGTCTGGTTTTCCTGACTTGCAGCTCCAATTGGTACCCCATGGATATGCAGTCCATTCAGTTATAAATCATTTTCCACAAAACTAAAAGCTTCAAAGAGTTGAGTTTCTCGTATGGCATTGATGATGTCCCTCCTGTCCACAGATGGACCATTCCTGACCGTCACACTGTCAGCCAGGGTGTCTGCTCTCTCACAGCCTTTCACAATAGCATGTGCTGGGACAAAAATAAAGGTGATTTTGTGATATGCTGCATGCATTCACTAACTAATCCTGTGGACTTCAATCCTGGAACGGACAAACTACATCAATCCAATGCAACCTACAGCAGATGCTGTTGGTGTGTGAAGACCTTAAAACTGTCTAGGCCATGACAATTAGATGTGGTGGTCAGCACTCTTCCATATTACCTTTCCTTTACAGACAATTCTGACACCCATAATACATATAGCATGTCTGTCAACCAAAGCTGTAACAAAATGTAGGAAGTTTCCAAGAAATACAATATGGAAACACAGGATCACATTTCATTTGCATTTACTGCATGATAACAATGTCTTTGTTTTGATTATTGTGTCTGAAATTAGAAGTTTGTTTTTAAAAAAAATGCTAGTGGAAATATGTACTTACCAAATGCCATGCCCAAGAGGACAAGAAAAAAGTTGTGTGGTACTGGGAAAGGCAGCAGCTGCACTGCAACTCTGATAAGTGCTGTTGATATAACATTTTAGAATATGTGTGCAGAATGTTTAATACAAACTGTGAAGTGGTGGGGTATCAGTTATGTCAGGAAATATGCAACATATATATTAACACTCTTAAATAACTCATGGAAGCAAAATGGTGGGTGACCTGTTGAAATAGAACTGGTGGTGCCTTATGCAATACTGAATGTGCAACTGCCAATTTTTAGTAACTACTGCTACCATCAATGGTGAATGGCAATTCTTTTGATGGACTGGGTTGGTACTTCTGATAATTGTCTGCTTTATGTATTTTATGTGTGTCCATACTGTTGGCTTTGCCAGCACTGCAGTAAGTTTCAATCATTTTAAACAAAAAACAGAGCATTCTGTGTGGGTTTTTTTTAAACCCATGAATGGAGCAATTACGGGGTGGCCTGTGTGCCATGAAGCTGGAAATGCAATGAACTAACTATAGAGAGAAAGATATTTCACAAAAGGACGTCACAAAAGATACAGATACACTAGGAATTTTTTTACACAAATTATGTGTTGTGCCAGTAAGAATATAAAAACATGAGGAACTTTGACTCACAGAGTATGTCATTAGATCAGTAATTACCAGTGTGTGCTTATACGAGGATAATTTCTAGGATAATTGAACTTAATGGTACGAAGAGGTGGCCAATGAAATAATATTACTGTCATAAGATCCCTTTTTACGCCTTAGGCGCATCGGGTATATAGGAAGAGCGTCCCATATTTTTACAGACCAATCGGCACTGGATGGGTAATGTGGTCAGCATTACGCCGGCCATAACTGTCATAGGTCTGCAAGGTGTGGACTGTGCCTGGCTCTGCATCCAGCAGGGTTGGGGTCGGCTAGCTTCTCTTAGGAGAGGTGAAAAGTGAAAATTAGTAGCCTGCCGATGACCCACAGTACACATAAGTCAACCTCTCCTCCCAGTGGTGCAGACCGGGAAACTGTGGCCGTGAGGCCACAGGCGAATGAGGCTCTGGCTCGCCAGATGGGATGGGGTCCATCTGGTCAGATTTTCCCTTAAACTGCAACTGGCCTAGCAAGCCGGCAGTGGATTTTTTATTGCTACGAAAATTAGAAAGGAGATAAATAAACGGACAGCCCCAAACGGAAAATGGACTGGAAACGTTAAAGGACGACGAGACAGAAAAACGACTTACATAGGCACATGGAACATATGTGGTATTGCCAACAAAGAGCCACAAATAGTGGATTTCATGAAAAGAAAAAATATACACGTCATGGGTCTTGCGGATACAAGAAAGAAAGGATATAATACAAAAGAAATACATGAAAATTATGTTTTATTATGGAGCGGAGTACCCACTAAAGATAGGGCAAAACATGGTGTCGGATTTATACTTCATCCCGAGACAGCAAAATTAATAACAGGAACAGAATTTATATCAGAAAAAATTATTTTAATCAAGTTGACAGAAGGAAGTAAAACTACAACGATTATTCAGATATATGCACCTTGCAACGATAGTTATTCTGAAGAAGAAAAAGAAGACTTTTACGAGAGACTTACGGACACCATCAATAATGTTAAAGAGAAAGAGGACATCATAGTAATGGGAGATTTTAATGGTAGGGTAGGTAAAAGAAGATCACCATGGGAGAGATACCTTGGCCCATTCAGCGACACAACCACAGATTGCAATAGAAATGGAGAACACCTGTTAAACTTGTGTGCTGAACAAGATCTCTACATTACCAACACATTCTACCAACATCGCCAAAGTCAGGTTAAAACGTGGTACAAGTGGAACAACTTAGATCAAGCGTCACAAATTGATTTTATACTAGTCAGACAACGGCAGAAGAGGACGGTAAGAGACTCAAAAGCTGTCCCAAATGCGGGACTGGATTCAGACCATCGCCCAGTAGTTATGAACATATGCAACTCAAGTAGAAACAGTCTACATAAACAGAAACGTGAAGAAATCATCAACACTAAGAAATTAGAGGAAGAGAATATCAAACAAGAATTTGAACTAGAAATAACAAAGGCTTTTGCAGATATTGCCAAGGAACCAGTAAGAATTGAAGAAGAATGGGATTATTATAAATCAACCATCACGAAGATATTAAAAGACAAGTGTGGTACCAGAAAGACGGGCAAAGGCAAGAAAAAGGGTACCGCTTGGTGGAATGAAGAAGTCAAAGAAGCAGTGTCAAATAAAAAGAAGATGTTTCAAATATGGTTAAAAACAAAAGACGAAAAGGATTACATTAGGTACAGACTAACTCGAAGAGACACCAAGAGAACAATAAAGAAATCCAAAGAGGAATCATGGAAAAAGTATGGTGAACACCTAACACAGCTATGTACAGAATCACCAAGAGACTTTTATAAGAGTGTGAAAGCGATGTGATTAAGAGAAGAAAGCTTCAATCCAACATCAGTCATAAACGATAAAAATGGAAAACCATTATTCAGCCAAAAAGAAATTAAAAAAAGATGGGAGGAATATTTTAAAGAACTTTTGAACCCGTCGGGAGTACATGAAACAGCAGAATTCCATTTAAGGGCTCCAGATCATCTAGAACCACATATCCTGCGGGATGAAGTAGAGAAAGTTATCAAAACAAGTAAAAGACACAAAGCAGCTGGTATTGACGGAATAACAACAGAAGTCATCCAGGCTGGAGGGGACACTATGATCACCTGGCTGGAGAGAATTTTCAATAGAGCATGGGCAGAGAGAAAGGTACCAGTGGATTGGCAAAGATCAGTTGTAGTACCTATCTGGAAGAAAAAAGGAAACAAGAGAGAATGTGGAACTTATAGAGGAATATCTTTACTAAGTCATGTGGGGAAAATGTATGCAAAGATCTTAGAAGGTAGGATAAGAGCAAAGGTTGAACCTCTACTGAGTAAAGCACAATTCGGTTTCAGGAAAGGGCGAGGTTGCACTGATGCCATATTTGCACTAAGACAAGCCTGTGAAAAGACACTCGAATACGATAAAGAGCTGAACGTGGTCTTTGTAGATCAAGAGAAGGCATTCGACCGTGTAGACAGAGATGTGCTGTGGAGAATTCTTGACGATTACGGAGTGCAGGGTCAATTATTAGACAACATCAGAGCCCTCTATGAAAAAAGTGAAAGTGCAGTAAGAACATCTAGTGGTCTTTCTGAATGGTTCAAAGTCACAACTGGTGTCAGACAAGGATGTGTACTGTCACCATTACTTTTCATAACATACATGGATAAGATCACTGTAGAAGCAAACCCAGACGTGTATGCTATAAACGAATTACTTTTTGCTGATGATCAAAGCATACTGTATCAAAATGAATATGATCTACAGGAACATCTGACTACTCTCAACAACAGCTGTTTACAACATAATATGAGAATCAGTACAGAAAAAAACAGAAGTTATGAAGATCAGCAGAACACACAGGCCACTGAATATAAATGTTGGAAGTGCCAAAATCAAGCAAACCAAAGAGTTCAAATACTTGGGCAGTATATTTACAGAGGATGGAAGAATGGACAGAGAGATAGAAACAAGAATACAGAAAGCAAATGCTGTCACATACCAACTATCACCTCTGCTTAAACATCCAGATATAACCATGAAGACCAAAAGACAATTGATAAACACCATCTTCATTCCAACACTCTGCTACCAGTGCCAAACATGGACAATCAACAAGACCCATGAAAGAAAAATAGAAGCCTGTGAAATGAAATGTCTAAGAAAAGCAGCGAACAAGACCAGACTAGACAGGATAAAGAATATAGACATTAGAAACACTGTCAAAACTACGCCATGTTTAGACTACATAGAACATCAAAGAATGAAATGGTTTGGACATCTAACCAGGATGAAAAATGATCAAATAACATCACAAATTTTCAACCAAAGAAGCTCAGGATATAAGGCAAGAGGAAGACCAAGGAAACGGTGGATTGACGGGGTCTCCGAAACCTGCCAAAAGCATGGCCTCAGAACATCAGATGCTGCCCGCCTTGCTTATGACAGGAACTTGCATCTCCCCACAACGCTTAGCGGCATACGTGGAAGGAAAAAGTAAAAAGTAAGTAAAGTAAGTATAACTGTCATAGTATATTATTATAATTCACATAGTGTACAATATTGTTTTATATGTATGTTAACTGCAAAATAATTAAATGGAAGATACTGCCATGAAGGGGTGAAGCTTTTGGCTTCACATATACTGAGGAATGCATATTGTGAGATGATCAAATTCCTTTCGATGCCTTTTATTCTGTTACAAATAATAACTAGTATCCACTTTATGAGGTTGGGTTGACCCCAGAGTCATGCTGGCCCTAAGCAAAAAGACTCATGCTATTGCTGGAGGCAGAACTGGAACTACTGTCCTGGTTCTTGCAAACTAACTTCTATGCTATAATAGCACATACACAGTCCTGTACATATAGATTTTCTTCTTTAACACTCTGTCATATGTAAAAATGGTAATGATAAAAAGAACTGCCACTGCCTAATTTTCAATTTATTTGTGGCTACATTATTTATAACTACATTTGACAGCATTTAAATCAAAGCTCCATTTCCATTCCTTTGGTCTGTAGGCATATTGGGCATATGGTGAGTACCATAATCGAATAGACCAATCAGTAGTAAGTTGACTACCTCTACTTCCTAGGACAGTGATAATGGATAGTGCTTAAATAATAAGTATTCACAAATCACATCCTATTTCTATTAAATAATTGCTTATCCAACTACCCTTAACTCTTTGAGGTCCAAGAAACGCATTATGCATGAAAAAGTTCCTACCTAGCCATCCAGTCGATTTTTAATTTACCAATGGTCAGTATAACAACACAAACCTGCAGTTTTGATTTTATGTCTCATGTGCTGACCATTGGGCTTATTCGGAAACATGATTAAAAGCATACAATGTAGCATGTTTGTAAGCTTTACAGAGTTACTAAATGTCTTTGTGTAAACGATATGGCCTCCGAGTGGACTTCTTCATGTGTGCCAACAGGATTTATGACTTTAGAAGCCTCATATTTACACACAGAAAACAGGCCTCCAACAGATTTATCCAAACCTAAACAAAGAAAGTTACAAAGTAGACTTGTTTCAGTTATCGATAGAGTCAAACTTTGATGAGGGATAGCTCTGATATATACCTCACACAAAGCCAACAATGGTAACAAAATCAGCTGATACAAAGAGAATAAATATCAGTGAAAAGGGCAATATTCTTCAGTATTAGTTAGGTCTAATGATATTCCCTTATTATTTGGAAGCATAAGCTATAAAACTACAGGCAAAGTGAGTGTTACATAAGGTTCGTTTCTTGCATGAACATATCAACTGTTTTTGGAAGTCATTTTTTAAACCAAAAAATGGGCTCTCCTCTGAACTTCTACCCCCGCATTATGGCGGCCTGAAATATCCGTACGGGGCTCAGTCCAATATAAAATGTGGACTTGTCGGAGTTCCCACTGAGGAACAAATTGCGGCAAAACTAGGAGTACCTTACAATGTCCCGAGATGCAACACCACAGACGACGGTAGCAGACGATAAAAGAGACCGTTGACAATTTCGAGCGTTTCAGCAGACGATACTAGCAGACGATAATAGCGACCATTGACAATTTTGAGACATTACAGACAATAAAAGCGATATGGCAGGTAGACCACGCGCTCCGACGCAGATTAGCGATACTGTTCTTCCGACTGAGGATTTAGCAGCGGTAGATGTCAGACTTTTCGGCATGCGTAAAAAGCGATTAAACTCACCGCCGAGAGTATCCCCCGCGCTGCTTCGCGTGGCGCAGATGGGAGGTTAAACTAGATACCTGGGACTCACGAGCAAATAAAATTGGAGGAAGTTGCAGGAGATGCGGTAGCTGCTGCTCGTGAGTCCCAGCGCGGATGGGGACTAAACTAGATGGCTGGTACTCACGAGCGGCAGCTACTGCATCTCCTGCAACTTCCTCCAATTACTGTACTCATGAGTCCCAGGCACCTAGTTTAGCCCCCATCCGTGCCGCAGGTCGGCAAGTAACGTATCGCCGAGACCCTGTCAGAGTATTTGTTTTGTTATCCGGAGCCGGCACATATATTTTTAATAGAACTGACCCGCATTCTGATATTTTTGGATTTTTTATGGCAATAAATTGGCCAATTTATCTCTCTTTTGAACGCCATCATAATAAAGCCGCCATTTTGGGGGTTGATTAAAAAGAGAGCCACTATTTGATTCCCAGATGGGTTTATGATTAAAGGCCCAATGGACGTAAATGCAATTGTGAAATGCGCGGGGGATACGCTGGGCGATGAGTTTAATCGCGTTTGGCGCATGCCGACATGTCTGACATCTACGGCTGCTAAATCCTCCCATCGGAAGAACACAGTATTGCTAATCGGCTTTCATCGTCTGTAATGTCTCGAAATTGGTCAACGGTCGCTAATATCGTCTGCTAGTATCGTCTGCAGAAATGCTCGAAATTGTTGTCAGCGGTCGGTATTTATCGTCTGCTACTACTGTGTGCAAACGTTGATATTGATTGTCAAGTAAACCTAGTTTTGCCGCGATTTGTTCATTTGCAGAAAGTCCGTATTTTAGATATACGCGAACACCGCCGTTCGGATATTTTTGGATATTTTATGGCCAGAATGTGGCATGCCGCCATTTTGGGGGGTTGACTCAAATGAGAGCCCAAATAGTTAATACTCAGTAAGGAGTCCATCTAAGAAATAATTATTAAAGACTACCCCAACAATCAGACATAACAGTTAACAAATATCAAAAGACTATCACAAGTTTAACTGAATTTAATTTCAGAGGGAATGTAAAGACATACATTCGGACTGCTACTGGTACCATCGAAATTGGAACTCTGGGCTAGCTGTTGAAGATGGAGACAGAGCACTTATGGGAATATCCTAAATAAGTTGTTAACTGAACTAAATGTAACATCCCACTTATTCAACATAACATTATCAACATAACCCTTAAACTTGAGCTAAAGACTAAAGGTTAAAAGTTTTTAAAGCGAGAACCGTTATGATAAATTTGCATAAAACTTCATCTAACTTAACTTCTCTCTGTGACGCTTTTCTAACGGCACAAGGCAGTATGAAACAAAAATGCAATATTCAATTCATAAATTTTTTTAATTAATATCTACCTGACAAATAAAAAGTTATAAAAGACACAACAATTATTTTCAGTGAATTTTCCATCGTGGACGATAATAATTTGTAAAGCAAACTCAAACACCGTACGCGGGTACAACAATCAGGCTGCAGAAGTGAACTCGAAACTGACAAGAGCTGGGCTATTATTTTAAACTTTTTTAGTTGATACGCGATACCCTGTATTATTAATAATGTAACTACTGTATTACGAATCACTACTCGAGGAAAGCATTTAAAACATTATTATATCGATATTGCCATATAATATAGCAATATAGAAACAAGTTTAGAGAGGATATACATGGTTATCGAGTATAAACAGCATTGTCATACCAAAACTGTGTTACCAGTGCCAGACTTGGATATTGATCAAGGCTAACCAACGTAGAATTAACACCTGCAAATTGAGATGCCTGAGAAAAGCCGCCAACTTAACCATCCGAGACAAAGTTAGAAAAGATATTATTAGACAGACTCAAGGAACGACACCATGCAGCAAATTCATTGAGAAACAGAAGATCAAATGGTTCGGTCATTTAGTAAGAATGAGACAGAAAAACTACCAACACAGGCGCTACACATTGAAAAATCTGAAGTGAAAGAAAGATGCCGCCCTAGGAGAACAAGGATTGAAGAAATTAAAGAGCTTCTACACAGAACTGAATGACAGTAGCCAATGCTGCCCATCAAGTAATGGGTCGCAAACTGCCTCCCCCCCCCCCCCCCCCAACCCTTAAAGGCAGAAGTAGAAATTAATGATGATGATGATTATGATGATAGAGAAGTAAAATAAACAAATACAGTAAAGGACCCATTTTCCCGCCTTCGTGCGTATTGGGCATATAGGGCTAGACCTATAATATTTATAGACCAATGACACTCGGTGGGTGATGTGGTCATCATCACGCGCCCACACTGGATTTAGAAGATGCATATTGTCAACGGTGAATAACAATATTATGGACACACTAACATCAACTGTAAGTCTTTATTAGGAAACCTTGGAGAGAACTCGTTCAATGAAGTATTTAGAAGTGTGTTTTGATCGTAGTTTTGTTTTTTATGAGCATGACAACAACGCCAGTCTTACAGGTCATCAAAGAACAATAAATGATGTGGTTTGAACTTCTAACAAGAATGCCCTGGTACTATCTGCCACAGCAAGCCACACTAAAACATTGCAACGTGTATAGAGCGATTTGAAGATCTTGGAAGATATGGAGTAATGGCATTAAGAACAGCCTTACAGAAATGAACATCAGTCTTAATAGTGCTCTTGACAGAGCTCATCAGCTAATGCTGAGGTACAAAGTGGAAGAGAAAAATAAAAAGAAGACAACCACGCGATAATAAGCGGAAAAGGGTTGACGGCGCTAATAATAATGGCCGCGGCCAACTGCGAGCAGCGTCGCCTATTTTTATGATATCAGGGTCTGATCCTTTCTTAACTGGGTATGCTCTGGCGATTCTGACTTTTAACATTACACAGAAAGAGAGACTAGATAGAGTGCATAATAAGGACATGCTCATCATACTTGGATGCACACAGAATACTGCATGCAGGGCTATGAGTTACCTCCTTGATCCTCTAACCGTTGAAGTGAGAACAGTGATCTACAGATCACGTGCGTATTTGCCGATACACACTGTCTATTTGACAGTGAGATTCGCACTAAGAAGGGTAGCAGGTAAAAAAAAAAAGAGGGAAATTCGGGCGGGTCAGGTTGAGGACATTATATAACAAGTTTGTTCAACTGAGGACGCAGAACCTGTTGAGGAATGAGTACGATTGTCAGCAGAGACCAGGGGAAATTACTAGAAATAATTGCATGAGTGTGTGTATGTTTGTTTATGTATGCACGTGTAGGTATGTAAGAAATGTATCTATGTATGAGAATATACGTTTGGGTATATTTAAGAGTGTGTATATCTGTATGAATGAGTGTGAGTGTAGTATGTACGTACGTATGTATGTAGGTAGGTAAGTGTGTGTATGTATGTATGTATGTGTCTATGCATGTGTGTGTGTATTTATGTATGTATGTAAGTATGTATGTATATATATATATATATATATATATATATATATATGTGCGTGTGTGTGTGTGTGTGCGTGCGTGCGTATGTGTGTGTGTGTGTGTGTTGTGTGTGTGTGTGTGTGCTTGTATGCATGTAAACAACATTTAACAGCTGGTTAGAATTGAAAAATTCAGAAACTCACACAAGCGCGCATGCTTGTGTGTGTTTCTTAATTTTTCAATTCTTACAAGCTGTTACATGTTTGCTTATCTTTGGTCAGTATTGAGTGTTCAGCCAAGTTGTGTGGTTGGTTGAAAGTTGTATATGCTGGGTGAATTTTGTCAGACATTATTTTTATACTATAATTTTCTCTCAGCTACATTTTTTCTAAGCGTTAAGGGAGTTATTCCTATCACTACTTCTAGTGCTGAACTTATGTTGTCCTTCTTTTTCTGCCTTGTTATATCCCAATAGAGCACAGACACTCAACTAATTCAAGCCAAGTCGTTCTGTTCTTTGCTATCGCATGCAGCTCTTCCCATGTCCTCTCCATCTTTGTAACTTCACTTTCTAGCTCCCTTCTCCATGTATTTTTGGGTCTTCCTTTATTTATATTCCCCTGTGGGTTTCAGTGCAAAGACATTCTAGTTATACTGTTCTCAGGTTTTCTCAACGTGTGTCCTATCCATGCCAGCGTCTTTTCTTCACCTCTTGGCCCACTGGAACTTGTTTAGTTATCTCCCAAAGCTCTAAATTAGTGATTCTATCATACCATTTAATTCCCTATTTTCTGCGCAGGCCCCAGTTAATGAATGTTTGTAGTTTATTAGTAATTGATTTAGTTGTTCTCCGTGTTTCCGCTCCATGCAACAGTGCTGATTTTACATTGGAATAAAAAAACAAATGTAGTAATAGTTTACATTTTTTTTAACATTAATGACGATGTAGGGTAATAGCAGAGCTCATCTGCAGGTTTCCTGAAATGCAATTTCATCCGTTCTGTCCACACGTAACAAATCATAAAGACAGCAAAAACTTTACGGGCAAGGAAGTCCAACAGGAAGGTTTCCGATTGTCAGAAGTCACCTCCATCGGTTCTCTATATCACGGACAACTTTCCAGTTACCGACTTCCTTTTTTTTTTTTTTTTGTATTCCGTTCATGTCCACGGAAGCTGCTGTTCATTTCATGCCAAACAGGAATCAGTTTAGCTTGGGGATAGCAGTTATTTCGGAGGTCCAGGGCCTTCCTCCGCTTGCCCCTACAGGTGCTGGTGACTCTCATTTGACACGCCGTTCTAATGGTGGATGCTGGATAGTAATGGCCAACAGGTTTGCACATGACAGTTTGAGTTGATAAACGGCTAAGCTGCGTCGCAAGAACCTGTTCATATTGTAATTCTGAATGGAAAAACGCAGTCCACTGATCTGGTCCACATTTCGTTTCGGTTATTTCAGAGCCGGTTTGATAGTGTCCGTGCTCTAGACTGGCCTCTCTGTGCCGCAGAGATAAATCACAAGTGTCTTCAAGTTTCATACATAAATTGAGCATCATGCCTCTTGCGTCAACCTTGACGACAAAGAGCTTTACGGCATCACATTCATTCCACCTACTAGCCACAAACTCTTTATTGCATAAATGTGCTGCTGCTTGATTCTTAACTAACGGTTAGTTCAAGCAATGTTAACTGACAAGTGCAGTACGATGACAGTCCTCAGCTGAGTTTTTCGGATTATATTATATTAATTGTGGTTGGTGGGCACAATATAAACAATTTGCGTTATTCTGATAACACAGTCTTGATAGCAAAAAGCCAGAAAAAAATACAGGAAATGATAGACATTGTGGTGGTACAAAGTGGAAGAATGGGCTTCAGTTTGAATAATGTAAAGACAGAAGTAATGGTGGTGTCAAAGAAAGAATAATTCCTAAATATGAAATAAAAGTCATTGGTGTAATTTTGGGACAAGTACATAAGTTTAAGTATCTAGGCACATGGATAATATCAAATGGAAGATGCATTACTGAGATAAGAAACAGAATAGGATAGGCAAAAAACTGCATTGTATAAAATGAAGAACATCTTATGCATATATCTTTGTCATTGAGGGTTAAAAAAATAATTATTGCTTGCTATATACATCCAGTTTTAACATATGGCTGTGAGTCCTGGACAATCGGTAGGCAGGGCAAACAATTTCTTGAGGCCTCAGAGATGTGGTTTTACAGAAGAATGCTTAAAATACATTGGACAGCCAAAAAGAGCAACCAGGAGGTTTTGAAAAAGGCAGGAGCTCGAAGACAACTAATCACAGACATCAGAAGGAGACAGTCATCATTTTTCGGCCATGCTATGAGAAGAGGGAAAGTGGAACATGTTGTGACCACTGGAAAGATTTGTGGAAGGAGAGATAGAGGAAGACAACGAGAGAATATTCGTGACAGTCTTGTTGCATGGCATGGAGGTGTGTCAGCACACAAACTAATACATACTGCAGGAGATCGCAGATTGTGGAGAGGCTTGGTCGCCCACGCCAGTCAGCAAGGCACCCGTTACTATGGGGCTAGTGCACTGCTCTGAGATTCTTCGGACTCAGGCTTGAGTTAGAAGTAGAACGGAGCACATATGCCATCATGTTGATCCGTTGTTCAAACCTAACTAGCTAGAGTGTTTTTATAAAGCGAACATAAAGGGATCTGTTTCGCCTTTGTGTGTATTGGGCATACAGGGATAGATCTATACTTTATAGACCAGTCGGCACTCGTTGGGTGATGTTGTCAGCATCGCGCTCACTCCCCTCACCTTTACTTCCCAGGACTTTAGTACTAATTAAAGACCGGATCCATCTAGGAGGAGCCAAGGTAATCATTAAAAATGAGCCACACGACGGCTCCCCAAAGCTGACATAAACTTATGTTGTTCTTAACAGTTACTATCTTCTATTGCCTCTGACACTTTTGAAGGTTTCCAGATCAGACAGGAAACGATGGCAGCGGCACTTGCTTTAGAAGATGCTTACAACAGA